CAGCCTAGACACATGGGGGAGGGCCTGGGCCCTGCTCCAAATGATATGAGACTTTGAAGATTCCCCCATGGAAGGCCTCACCCTCCCTGGAGAGCAGAAAGGGGACAGGATAGGAGGTCGGAGGGGGCCAGGGGAGGAGAGGAGGGTGTGGGAACCAGGACTGACATGTAAAACAAGCTTGTTTCTAATTTAAATTAAAAATAAATAATTTTTTAACAAAGAACTGGGAGATGGGCCAGGTGGTGGCGCATGCCTTTTGTCCCAGCACTCGGGAGGCAGAGGCAGGTGGATCTCTGAGTTCTAGGTCAGCCTGGTCTACAGAGTGAGTTCCAGAAGAGCTTCCAAAGCCACAGAGAAACCCTGTCCCCCCCCCACCCCAAAACAAAACAAACAAACAAACAAACAAACGAGCTGGGAGATGTAAAGGTCTGTTCAGTAATTCACAAGCTTGGACTAAGAGTGTCAGAAAGTCAGGAACGAGCTAAGAGCAAACATTTCCCCAAGGTTATGGCCAGCTGTTTGCGTCCTCGCTTGTAAACCATGTTCTCTTAAGACCACAGACTCTCCGAAACTCTGCGGCTTGACACCATCGAAAAGGACTGAAGGGCTCTTGCCTGGAGAATTGTGTTATTTTGACATACAGACGCTTGCTTCGGGATTACAAAAACAGGTACACAGCCTCATACAGACACTACACACGCCTTTACGTATTTTTTGTCCCAAGAAGTAAGACCTTGGGTGCAATTTCCAGCCAAGACACGGTGCCTGGCTAGTCCTGCGCCAAGCCCCGTGGGTCCTGGACCCGTCTAAGCGAACCCGAGAGCAACTGGTGCTCAAGCCCCGCAGGCTGCGCGCCCAGCCACGACTTCCTCGCACCCATCAACCTGTGCTCTTCCCACTCCTCCTCCACGCTCCCGGCTGGCGCCCTCGGGGTCCCGGGATCGCCGCGCACCCCACCCGCGCCTGCCCACTCTGCCGCCCGGCGCTCCTTCCGAAGCGGCCCCATCCGCCTCGGCGTCCCGCAGCGGAACCCGAGCCCCGAGGCAGGACGCCAAGCCGGAAAGGCTGCACGCCCCCGGTCCGCCCGGAAGTGAGCCCCGCACCGGGTCGCCCAGGCCCCTGCGCCCGTCTGCCACGCACCCACCTGCCGTAGCACGCCCGCAGCCATGATCCGCGCGGCGGGGACTGCGCCCGCCTGAGGCGCGGCCTGGTGAGGCGTTCCGGCCCCGCCCTGCTCACGCCCCCTCCCGCAGACGGCTGCTCTCTTTAGCCGGGCCTTGCTGAGTTACAGGACTGCAGGCACCGAGGCTCTGCCGCGAGGAGCACACGCAGGGACAGCTCAGGATGGTCATTCGCGCCCTCCTGGCCTCCACCCTGCCCTGCTCCGCCCCAGCCGCACTCAGGCCCAGCCAGGCATTTGCCTTGGCTTCTGCGGGCTCTTTTTGCCTTTGTAGTACTTAGGGACTGAACCCGTGGCCTCGTGTATGTTAGGAACACGAACTAACCACTGAGATAACGTCTCCATACCTTGAATATATATATATTGTTGGGTGTGATAGAGCATACCTTTAATCCCAACACTCAGAGGCAGGAGGATTTCAGTGAGTTCAAGGCCATCCTGGTCCCCCTAATGAGTTCCAGGCCAGCCAGTGAATTCATGCTTCAGCACCAAACAAGTGGGGTTGGGAAGAGAGCTCAACTGTTAAAAACACTGCTCTCCCAGAGCCTGGGCTCGGCTCCCAGCACCCACACAGTGACTCACAACTGTCTGTAACTCCAGTTCCAGGGGATCCACAGGCACATGGTACACTTACATGCATGCACGCAATACACTCATACACAGGAAAATAAAGCAAAAATATGAAAAGATATTTAAAAAGAAACACAAAAAGAGCATCTTCAGAGGTACTTCGTCGGTGGCCAAGTCGCCCGAACAAGGGTCAGAGAGCTGTTTGTCACCAATACTTTGATGAAAAGAAAAAGTGCGTTGGAAAGGCCATTTGAAGCAGGGCCTGGTACCACTTGCAATCCCAACGCTCTGAAAGCTGCAGAAAGATTTACTTCAAAGTGAGAGCTAGTCCCTTGTCTCAAGTGAAACACATGGAGTGGGACTTTGGAGGATGATAGGTAAAGATCCATCTGCACAAGGAGACAACGTGTTCTTTGTAATTACAAGACACACACGCACACGTGCGCGCACATGCACACACACGCACATACACTGTTCATGGGCCTGTGTTCCAGTGCCTCCTTTCTGTCCCCTTAGAGAAAAAAGCTCAAAAACTCTCACATACCAACTCATGACAGAGCCTCATTAGCCTACAGCTTAGGGTGCCCCAGCCACACCCCTCACCCACAGCTCCCCAACACCGGGTTTTAGGGGTAGTTAGCCAATCTGCGCACCAGGCACACTCTGCTGGAGCATTCGCTTAAAAACACAATTACACGTGCAGGGTCTCAGTCTGCACTCCAGGCAGGCCTCAAGCTTGCCATCCTCTGCCTCAACTTCACAAGTAGAGGGATTGTCTAGCCCAGCTGAGCCCTGCAATTCAAACCTGTGGCAGTGTCCTTCCATAGTGTGCTTCCTGGCCACTGTACTACAGGCTTTACCCAATCAGCAGTCTCACACACACACACACTCTCACACACATACTCACCCACACACTCACCCATACACACACACCCATACACACACACTCATCCATACACTCAACCACATACACACTCAACCACACACACACACTCACACACATCCATACACACTCACCCAGACACACACTCACATACACACACTCACACACCCATACACATACTCATCCATACACACTCACCCACACACATCCATACAATTCACCCATACACACACTCACATACACTCAGTCACACACACACTCATCCATACACACTCACCCACACACATCCATACACACACTCACACACATCCATACAATTCACCCAAACACACACTCATCCATACATACTCATCCATACACACATACACACACTCACATACACACTCATCCACACACACATCCATATACACACACACTCACACACATCCATACACACCCAAACACACACACTCACCCACAAACACTCATCCACACACATCCATATACACACACCCACATACACACACACATCCACCTACCCCCCACATACTCACACACATCCATACACACACTCACATACACATACACTCACCCACATACACACACTCATCCACACACACACTCATCCACACACACACTCACACTCATCCATACACACACGTTCACTCACACACACACACACACACACACTATGCACAGGTTAAGCCTCTGTGTCGATGTAATTTTGCAGCAGGTTCGCAGCCTCCACAGCCACAATTACTCCCAAATCCCAATGCATGATACTGTTCTTCAAACTATGCACCCTCTCCCTCAGACCTGCCTGTGCCACCCTCCCGCCTCCCCCAATCTCCCGTTTTCTACTGCTAAACCCTCCCTCCTCCCCTACCATCTCCAAACTGCCGAGCGGAACCCACACCAGCAACCGCCCCCGCCGCAGCCAATCAGCGATTGCCGCACACCCCTGCCTTGGCCAATCCACAGCAGCCTTGCAGCTCCACCCCTTACCTGGGGTGTGGGGAAGCTGCTTGCTGCGCCCCGCGCCCAACCTGGGGAGTGTCCAGGGCCTGTTCTTTTCCAAGCGCACCCCCACAGTGTCCTTCAGCCCCAGCCCCAGCGACGCAAGTCCCAGCCTCCTCCCTCTCACCCACATGTCTCAACTCCACGCCACCTCAGCTCTCAAGATTCTTCCTCCAGCCACCTCACTAACGCACTGGCAAAGAGCGTAAACTCCTCCCCTAAGGGCCAAGAATAAAGGCAGGCGCTTTTGTGCCTCCTTCATTATCTGCCAATTACCTCTAATTTATTCTCCCCAGCGGGCCTTTTAATTAGCACCCAGGTGAAGCTGAACTGCGCTCCCTGGCGACAGAAGTTACCAGCTCTCCATCCCGCTGCACGGCCTTAGTTCTGACTTTGGGTGGCTGAAAGGGATGGCACAGACTTGTGTAAAGAACAGGAAATAAATGTGATATTCCCGTTCTGGATACAAGTTGTTTTTATGAGTGCAGGACGAATGGTAAGTGGGTAAGGTGTTGGGGTATGGGATGGGGATATGGGATATGGATGAGGGAGGGGCAGCTTGTAGGTAGTGACAGAGCCCTTTGCTTAGAACACCCCAGTGAGGGGCTGGGGCGTGGCTCAGTGGTAGAGCCCCTGCCTAGAGTCCCCCAGTGAGGGGCTGGGGCGTGGCTCAGTGGTAGAGCCCCTGCCTAGAATCCCCCAGTGAGGAGCTGGGGGCGTGGTTAACGAATGAAATGACTTGACCACACCAAGGTGCAGTTGAGGAGAAGGTTTTGTTGTATATATGAAGGAGAATACAGCCAGAGGCACCTGGAACAGCCCAGACTGAACTGAGCCGTGGGGGTGGGGTGGGGCAGGAGAGGAGGAGAGGGCGAGGGGACCCAGAGCACCTGTCTGAAATGGCAGGTTTGGTGGCAATGAGAAGCTGGGGGACAGAAGCTGAATTCCAGGGCTGGAACCTGACTGCCAGCAGCCCAGCTTTGGTGTGCTAATAGACATCACAGTTAGTCATCTGTCCTGAGTTTCCTGGTGAAGGGACTGAGGCCCTGGGTGTGGCTCAGTGTTAGAGCCCCTGCCTAGAATCCCCCAGTGAGGGGCTGGGGCGTGGCTCAGTGGTAGAGCCCCTGCCTAGAATCCCCCAGTGAGGGGCTGGGGCGTGGCTCAGTGGTAGAGCTCCTGCCTAGAGTCCCCCAGTGAGGGCTGGGGCATGGCTCAGTGGTAGAGCCTCTGCCTAGAATCCCCCGGGCGTGGCTCAGTGGCAAAGCCTCTGCCTAGCACAAAAGGCAGTCCTAGGTCTAATCTCCAGTACCAAAAAAAAAAAAAAAAAAAAAAAAAAGGGATGAAGAAGAGGGATGATGGGTAGGACACAACTTAGTGTAAATCAGGGTGGGAGAATGGGGCTTCCACAAGTCTGCTCCTGCTAGCCTTGCATCCATACCCCAGTTCTGCACCTCCTGTCACAAGAAGCTCAATCCCTGTACAGAACGTGGCTTCAGAGGCCAGGAACACACTGCAGCCCCCACCTCAGCTGGCCGGCCCATGCGGCCCAGTGGCTGGGAGAGAAGGGAGGGAGAAAATTAAGAATAGCCCTCTTAGGCTCACATCTGTCATCTCAGCAAGAGAGACCTAGGCAAGAGGTTTGCCCTGGGTTCCTGACCAGCCTGGGCTAGAGAGTGGGACAGTCACACATACATACTAAGAAGGGTGCATGCTTGTAACTTCAGCACTCAGGAAATGGAGCAGGAAAAGCAGAAGCTTGAGGGTGTCTCCAGTGACATATCAAGGTCCAAGCCAGTCTGGATTATATGAATCAGAGAGAGAGAGAGAGAGAGAGAGAGAGAGAGCAGAGAGAGGGAGGAGGAGGGGGGAGACAAGACCCCAACTAACCACCTGACCCACACTCTACTCCCCCCTCCATCCCTCCCAGCTCTGGACCCCCCCCCAACCTGGGCCAAGGAGCCTTCTAGGATGGTGGCACTGGGGTCTGAAGTTGAGTTCGCCAGCTCTTCCCACAGCGGAGTGAGTCCAGATGTTTCCTGGGGAGATGCTGGGTAAGGGGGAGAAGTATAGGCTGATTGGGTCTTGGCATCCCCAGCTGCCCCCACCCTCTCTGATCTGCTCACCAGTTGACGCGGACACCATATCGGCTCTCATCCAAGGCCAGCGCTTTGGTCATGGCTGTCACTGCACCCTGCAGAGGCAGAGACCAGAGAGGCTTGGGCGTGAGGATGGAGTCCCTCCCAGCCTCTTCCAGGCGGGGAGGAACTTTAGCATCAGTGAGATTAGCCTCGGCCATCTTGCAGACATTCCCTGTGCTGGGCTCTGTGCAGGCTTATTTGTTACAGGTTGCTGTAACTTGGGACTGAATGAGGTAGGTAGTGTGGGACATCCCTGCGTTTTGGCGCCTATGATCCTAGAACTTGGGAGGCTGAGACGGGTGGATTGCCGTGAATTCAATACCAACCCAGGCTTCAGGGTTCAAATAAAATCAAAAGGGGCCTTGCAAGAGGCTCAGCATTAAAGGTGCTTACTACCAAGCCTGACAACCTGAGTTTGATCCCTGGGGCCCACATGGCAGGGGGAGGAGAGCTGACTGCTCTATGTTGACCTCTGACCCACATATGTGTGCAGTACCCGGCACATACACACAGACAAAGACACATATGAAATAAATAAAATTTAAAAGATCAGATCTGGAGAGATGGCTCAGCAGTTGGGTTGCTCCTGCAGGAACCCAGGTCCCATTCCCACCCAGCATCCAAGCGATGGTCCAGTTCCAGGGCCATCTTCTAAACCCAACGTGAACCAGAAAGACACCCAATGCATATACATACATGCAAGCAAAACACCCATACACTTAAAATAAATACATAATACATATTCCTAGTGACCTTATTGCTGAAGATATAACATACTTTGGATGCAGGACACAGAGAAACTGTCCTGAAACCTTCCTCCTTGCTCGCTAAGTTTCATGGTCCCAGAAAATGTTATGTAGGTCACTGGGCAAAAAAAGTCAACAATAGATTTATCTAGAAGTAAACCTTGTACGCTGCAGTACTGACCTGCCAGGCAAGATATGCCCACCAGTGCAATGTTAGTGGGTATCTGCTTTCTGTTTGGTTATGAAACCAGTTCTACAGGAGAGAGGTCATGCCTAATACTGTAAACTTGGTCAGAAGTCTTTGGTTCAGGGAGCCCCAGGCCCGAGGCCGCTGACAGTTCTGCCTCGGTCAAAGTTCTTACTTCCTTTTTTTGTTGTTTATGTTTGAAACGGGGTTTCACTAGCGTCTGTGTAGACCAGGCTGGCCTCAGACTCATGGAGATCTGCCTGCCTCTGTTGTGGAATATTTGTACACTGTGTGAAGATGCATTGCTGTGACTGACTTAATAAAGAGCTGAACAGCCAATAGGTAGGCAGACGGTATGGGCTGGACTTCCAGGCAGAGATAAAGTAGATGAATCTAGGTGCACAAGAGAAGCCAGGAGACAGGAAAGGAGCATGATGTGTGGTGAGTGACAGAACAGAGATTGAGAGAAATGGGTCAATTTAAGTTATGAGAGCTAGTTAAAAACAAGCTAAGGCCAAGCTTTCATAATGAATAAGAAATCTTCCTGTCATTATTTGGGAGCTGGCTGCAGGACAGAGAGAGATTCATTACCCGCGCTGCCTCCTGCGTGCTGGCTTGAATTTGAGCCACGCCACGCCCAGTGACAAGCCCTTTGCAGTGCTGAGTGCTTGGCCCTAGCTGAGACTCTTCTACACAGCTGCTAGCTGCCCCGTGCTATGGCCCAGGGGACAACATGAAGAGAGGGCAGAATGAGTAAGACGTGGGGGCCGGAGGGCAGTCCTGTGAGACGCTGTTCTGTCATGGCATGGCCCTTGGTTTCGTGAACTGACTGCAGCTGTGATTACCTGCAGGGGGCTCACAAGGTGAAGCTGTTATTATTGCAGCACGGGTGTGGAGGGGCTCACGAGGACCCGCCCCTTACTGAGGAATACTGGCAACTGGTGGCTGCTGGGAGGGGGATCATTTTTCTTCAGGGGCGTGGTCACTGGTAGGTTGTCCACTGGGAGGTGGATGCACTCAGTGGGTCATTTGGGAACTAGGGAGGACAGAAGGGAGGGAGGGAGGGGACAGGGAGAGAGGGAGGGAAGGAGGGAGGGAGGGGGAGGAAAGAACGAGGGCGTCAGCTGACAGGCAGATGGGTTAGGAGCACAGATGCTTGGAAGAGGGGAGATGGGGTATGATGAAGACAGATTGCATTATGTGTGGAATTGTTCAAGTATAAACATTATCCTTTGAATGGATACTTGTGTGTCTATGAGCATATGGGCATGGATATGCAAGTGCTCGTGGAGGCCAGAAGAGGTCACTGGATGCCTTGGGGCTGAAGTTGCGGCCGCGAGCCTTCCAGTGTAGGTGTTTGGAACCAAAGTCTTAACTGCTGAGCCATCTGTCTAGCATACCCAAAATTACTCTTAAAAAAATAAATAAATAAAGTGCACACGCTTCGGTTTTCCTGTCAGCCTGACTTCCCTAAGAGTCTCTCTGAGTTCTTTGAATGAATGGCCTGAAATACAGCATCCTTCATTTGTATTGCAACTGGAGAATGGAATAGAACAGAGCCAGGCGGTGGTGGCGCACGCCTTTAATCTCAGCACTCGGGAGACAGCGGCAGGTGGATCTCTGTGACTTTGAGGTCAGCCTGGTCTACTGAGCAAGTTCCAGGATAGGATCCAAAGCTACAGAGAAACCCTGTCTCAAAAAAATTAAAATAAAATAAAATAAAATAATAAAACAGGTCAGGTGTGGTGGTCAGGTGTGGTGGTGCACACCTTTAATCTTAGTGCTCAGGAGGCAGAGGCAGGAGGATGTCTGAGTTCTAGGTCAGCCTAGTGCACATAGCAGGCTCTAGGCCAACCCTGACTGTATAATGAGACCAAGTCTCAAGAGATCATAAAATAAAATTAGCTGGCGAGATGGCTCAGAGGATAAGGGCGTCTGGTGCTGGGCCCAAGGTTCCTGATTGCAGTCCTGAGACCTGTGTGGTAGGAGAGAGCTAACTCCAGCAAGTTATCCTCTGACTCTCTCTCACAAACACACACACACACTCACACACACACATATATACACCACACACTACACACACACACATAATATACACACCTATAGATACCACATACATACCACACACACATACATATACACACACCATACACACCAAATACACACACACACACACACACACACACACACACACACACACACACAGTAAAAACCAGGAAAAGAGAGAGAGGTTACAGGATCAAAGCTGACGCCCAAAGAGCCAGGAAGGAATGTTCGGGAGAGGGGCTGGCCTACCTTGGTAGCCACATACGTAACTGCCTGGGACTGGCCGACGGTCCCCACCAGGCTGGAGATGTTGATGATGTTGCCTCTGTGCTTCCGCAGGTGGGGGAGAGCAAGCTATGGAGACAGACAGACAGACAGACAGACAGACAGACAGACAGACCGACCGACCGACCATCTGCATCTGGTCCCTGGAGAAAGACACCAGCCCCCTGGTGTGGGGCTGAGGCCATCACCCCACATTCTCAGTGGATCTCAGGGGGCAGAGGAACAGCAGTGGTATGTCTATGGTATGCAGAGGCCTCTGGGGGTGGATTTCTGTGTCGTTTCTAGTTCTCTCTCCCTTTCTCTTCCTCCCTCCTCCCCAGTCTCACCCACTGTTTAATGCCCAGCCCTCATCAAGCCAGGAAACCTATGCGTGCAGACCCCCGCCTGCTTGGAACAACTAGGAGAGTCCTTTTATTCCATGGAGAGAGGTGGTGTTTTACAAAGCCCTGTGGCCAGCGCGGGATGTGTCCCGCTCTCTGCCACCCTCTCCGGCCACTCCTCCTCAGGTGTGTTTGCTTCCTCTGTGGCCTCGGGTAAACTCAGTCCGTTCTTTTCCGTTGCTGTGGGCACTGGAGCTGAGCAGGCACAGCCTGTCCTTACCACTAATCATGACTAAGCACAAAGCAGCACCCACCCCAGCCTCCTAGAACAGGAAGCCCACCGGCCCACTACTCCCCAGGTAACAGCCTTCACAGCCTGTCTGGGGCATCCCGAGAAGTCACAGCTCCCAGTGACCATCTGAGCCGGCCTAGGATGAGGGGACCCCGGGCACTGTCCTGAGCTGTCCTGTTATATGTCCTCCAGGCCTGTAACTGATATTACAATATCTCTTCTGTAATGAGACCACCTGAGCGAAAGGGCACCGGGCCCTTCTCTGAAATGGGCCGGTGAAGGTAAGTGTGGCTGCATGGTATTCATGGGAGCAAATCCCTCCCCACGCCCCCCACACCTTTTTGCTTTTGTTTTTTCTGAGGCAGAGCCTCACTATGTATTCCTGGCTGTCCTAGAACCAGGCTGGCCTCGAACTCAGAGATCTGCCTGCCTCTGCCTCCTGAGTGCTGGGATTAAAGGCACGCATTGCCTTGCACAACTTCATGGCTCCTATTGCTCATAGATACAAAACAGAGGGAGAGATGTCCATCCTTGTGGGGACAAATTTCTAGGGAGAGGCCAGTGCTGCAGACTGATCAGTGAGTTTAGCATGGAACATTCTAGAATATGACTAGGAAGCTCAAATCACTTTCTTGGTCAACCATGGCTCCCTATTGCATCTGAAATACACTGGACTTGCTAGCATGGCTTTTACATCCTTCTCCACTAAGGCCTCTCTCCCTTCACCCTCAACAGCAGCAAATATTCTTACTGACCCTTCATGGGCCCTTCCCTAGACCACGAGACCCCACCCTTTCTTCCTGGTTTGTTTTTGGGGGGCAGAATCTCACTCTGTAGCCCTAGTGATCCAAGCTGGGCAAACATTCTACCATCTGAGCCCCAGCCTGCCTCCGGGGTCCTTTGAATCCTCTTTGCCACCTCCATTCAGGCCTGGAAGGCTCTGGAAGGCTCTGAAGCATCTGTAGATGAACAGGTGGATGGGGATCTGGCCTGTTTGTTTCCTATACAAAACGGGATCCTTCTAGAGCAGTGGTTTTCAATCTTCCTAAGCTGTGACCCTTTAATACATTCCTCATGTTTTGGTGACCCCATCCATAAAATTCTTTCCTTGCTACTTCATAACTGTAATTTACTACTGTTACGAATTTTAATGTAGATATCTATGTGTTCTGATGGTCTTAGGAGACCCCTGGGAAAGGGTCATCAGACCTGCTGTTCTAGAATAAGCCAAGGGGTCACAAAACCATGTGCTCAGGAGGTCTCGCCTTGGTCAACGTATATGTGCCCAGGAGGTTCAGCTCCAGCAGCTGGCGAAAGTCCTTGGCAGAGGTCTCCTCAGGCCGCTGTGCAGGTGGGTCTGAGGGGAAGGCGAGCATGAGGCCAGGTCAGGAGGGGAGGAGGCAGGAGAGGCGATGGAGCAGGTGAGAGGCAAACAGCTAGGGAGCGAGGCAAGGAAGGAGGCTGCGTGGTGATGGATGTGATGGCAGTCTCTTCAGGGCAGTGCAGCATGCTGGCCCACACCTGCCATTCCAGGACCAAGTCACTGAGCCCGGCCCCGGGTCATAGCTACTCTCCTGACCTGGAAAGTGAATTTCCCTGCGCTCCGCACAGCAGTATTGGTTATGTGGCCTGTGTTGAATAAACATCAGCCTAAGAAAAGAAGGTACCGGTAACAGTGAGCCTCCTACAACTCTGAATCCCTACCAGGATCTGAAGAGGCTAAGACAGAGGGAGCCCCACTGGCCAGGGGCATCCTCTGCACCTCCACCTTTGGAGGGGACTCTGGAAGCCTCGCAGCTCTCTGAGCCTTTTGTTTGTTTGTTTGTTTTTCGAGACACGTTTTCTCTGTATAGCTTTGGAGGCTTTCCTGAAACTCTCTCTGTAGACCAAGTTGGTCTCCAACTCACAGAGATCCGCCTGCCTCTGCCTCCCGAGTGCTGGGATTAAAGGCGTGGGCCACCGCGGCTGAGCCTCAGTTTCTATAGGGATACATTGTATTTGTTTTTTAGATTTATTGTGTTTGTATACAGTGTTCTGCCTGCATGCATGCCTTCCCACCAGAAGAGGGCACCAGATCTCATTATAGATGTGAGCCACCATGAGATTGCTGGGAATTGACCTTGGCACTTCTAGAACAACCAGTGCTCTTAACCACTGAGGTTATCTCTCCAGGCCCCTGGGGGACAGTGTGACCTCCTTTAGAGACTTCAGCACACCCCCCCCCAGTGGAAAAGGTAACGATTCTTATTTCAAAGTCGGAAACTGAGACCTGCATCTCTGGCAGTGAGAGGGACATCTGCCAGGTCAGGTCGCATAACTTGGATGATGTCCGGCATCTCCAGGAAGTCATGGATGCTACCTGGCAGCAGGGTGCAGGGTGGCAGGATTGATGGCCAAAGACTTATCCATCTGTCCTTATCTGAAAGAAGGGTTTGGCACTGGGTAAGACGGGCATTACACGTCATCGCTTGGTGGCACCTCTCAGCGGTGCTTCCACAGTGAGGCGCTGTCAGGGTTAGGACCTACCCAACTTGTCATTCTCTTTTATAAGAATTGCAGTGGCTGCGATGGCTCTTAAACAAGGGGGCCACCCAGACACTACAGGGTCCAGTCTCTTTGAGATGTAAGCTCTCAGCCTTTTCCAGGGACCCAGGTCTGAATCAGGACTCCTTTGGCAATGCTTTGCTTTCATGGGCAGAATGAAAGGGCCTGGAGATGCCAGGGTGAGTTAAAGGGCCTCTTTTAAGTTCTTTAAGTTCATGGGCCCCACTGCAATGGAGTATTGCCCCTGGCTGAAGCGGAGTACTAGGATTTGGCAATTTCGGTGAACCCAGGTATCCAAAGATGGCAATATCCAACAGCTTCCAGAAATTCCTAGCTTGTTTCTTGGTGCTTGGAGTTGGGGCTTGCAGTATGGCTGCTATGCTGGCCTGGGACAATAGTCTTTTTCCCTCTCAAAGTTCATATCCCAAGTAGCTTGGGGTGAATCTGAGCTTTCTTCTCAGGAACTAACTCCAAAGCCTAACCGGACTAGTGTTTCCAAAAGGCCTAAGATGGCTCCCAAACAGTCCTTCTGCCTTTAACAGCCAATTGTTATGCGAATTCTGTCTGACAGCCAATTGTATTGGGGCAGCTTGGCCAAATGGGTGTAGCCTTTTCTGGGGATACATCACCAGATAAGAATGGAGGGCAGGGTTTGAGGGCACCAGATCTCATTACATGATGGTTGAGAGCCATCATGTGGATGCTGGGAATTGAACTCAGGACCTTTGGAAGAGCAGCCAGTGCTCTTAACCTCTGAGCCACCTCGCCAGCCCCAAAGAATGAGTCTTTTAAGTCCAATACAGTGTAAAGTTTATGCTCTGGTGATCAAAAACTGAGCAAACTATAGGGATTTGGAAGAGATGGGTAAGTGGATTCTACCCTCTTGTTCCCTCCCCTCGAGTCTTGTCCTGGTCTGTCATCTCGAGCTCTGGGCATTTGAGCAGACAGCAAAGGGGTGTTCCAGGCTGACTGACAAGGAGTCAGTACCCTGCTTCAAGGAGGGGCCTGATGTGAATCGCCCCCTTCCCTGGCCCCAGCACTGACGGGCACTGCTTGGCTCCAACGGGCATTGCTGGTGATGTTAGCTGAACCATGGTGGTGGCACCTGTTTGCCAAGCCAGAAGGCGTGACCTCTGCCTAAACTGTAGGATCAATAACTTTTTCCATTCCCCCTTCCGGGGAACAGGTTGGATTTTGGATTCCTCAGGTACTGGCCATGTTATATTTTAAAAGCCTGAGCAGGGCCCTCCCAATGCAACCCAGGAGTCCCCTGAGAATGATAGCCGGAGCTTGTCAAGAGCTCCTACCCCAGTAAAGGGTAGGGACATTCAGAAATAGCAGGAAGAGAATGAGTCACAGTTCCGTGTCCTAGGCTAACAGTCCAGTCAGTGGGTCATGCATGTCCTTCAACACCCCCTGCTGTCTCCTGTACTTCCACGGTTTGGTTGGTAAAGGGTCCCAGGGGTCCCCATGTCCACCATAAATTTTGCAGCTTGGCGCCCCTATGATAAGGGGCCAAAGGAGACTTGGCCTCACTAATCCTCCACGGCTAGCATTGGCCTGGGTTTGTTTGTTTTGTTTTGGGGGGGGGGCTACGGTTTCCGCCAAGAACATTCATTTCCATTTCTTTGCAGATGGTGAATTAGGCCATTTGTAAAGGTCTCCTCTTTTTATCATGGTGTGAGTGGGCAGAGTTGGGGGTGGCAGGGGCCTGTGCTGCAGCCACAGGGGCATGCCCATCTTCATTTTCAGAAGATCTTGGCTGGCCCTGCTGTCATACACTTTCTGGGTGTCTCATAGTTCTGACCTGCTCTTCCCTGCAAACCCTTCATCTTTTACTGAGTAACAGTGGCCAGGTTAATCGCCTTGAGATGTGCCAGGTCCTGTGGGTCTGTAAGAGTGTTTAATCATAGGCGTTGAGGAAGCACTCTAGGAAAGCTGAAGGTGATTTCACATGTTACCTCAGATAGGCCAGTGGGCTTCCGGACTGCCCATTCCATCCCTTCTAGCGAACCTGGTGGTATTCAGTGAGGGACCTCCTGCGTCTCTGTGGGGTAGTCCCATTGGGGTCTCCTTCTTGGCAGAACAAGGTCAGGTGCCATTGAAGCCGTTCCAAGGAGTAAGCCTTCAGTTGCTTTCATGAGAATCTATTTCCTCTCTTCGGAGGATCTGCTGACAATCATCTCACATGGGGAGATGATCGAAAAACGACGGAATCAACTGGAGACGCTAAAGAATCAGGGCAAGTGCTAAGAGGGGGCTTCTGGCCATTCAGTTTCACAGAACATTCCAGAGGCAGGCGGTGCTTGGTGATAGGAGAATCCTAATCCTCCTTAACTTTAGGGTGCAAACTTTATTAACAGTGCAAAAGACAGCGAGAGAGAGGTAAAAATAAAGCCAAAGCTAAGGCAAGACACAAACCAGAGCAAGGCCTCAGGTGGGCTGGGCGGCGAATGCTTGCTGCCCTGGATGGGAGATTATCAGTGTCCTATGGAACCCTTCCATGTCCCAGATAGGGGTCCCACAAAACAGAACCGGACTGTGACTCACCAGGACACTGTAGCTGCTTGCTGCTTTGCCTGCATGAGAGGTCACCTCACGGTCCTTGAACGAAGGTAATCCCGGGGCCTTGTAATGTCTCAAGGCACATGCCTCCTGAGGCAGCCCCTGGAATTCCTAAGTGAAGGTCCAGGTTTAGAATTTCGGTGGGTGGTCTGAATTTCAATGGGGCCTTCAGAAAATGTTATCCAAAACGTCGACAATAAGATCACTACCACAATTTGAGACAAATTTGAAGCAAGGTTGATTTTTATTGGGCTCACCCAAGAGCTGCCTGCTAAATCGGGTTAAAGAGGGCAGCTCCCAATCCACCTCTTGCTCCCCTTTTTTGTTTGTTTATTTTTTGAGACAATTTCTCTGGATTGCTTTGGAGCCTGTCCTGGAACTCGCTCTGTAGACCAGGCTGGCCTCAAACTCACAGAGATCTGCCTGCCTCTGCCTACCAAGTGCTGGGATTAAAGGAGTGTGCCACCAACACCCGGCTCTTGGGCCCCCTTTTAAGGAGTAAAATCACAAGTAGTTTTACAAAAGGGAGACAATGGGAACATAAGGAAACACACACACACACACACACACACACACACAAAATCATGTGGTCACCCACCATGTATGTGATTAGGGAGGGGTCAAGGAGAGTCAGGGAGGATCAGGGTATTCTGGAAAACAATCTAAGGTCGTGGGGCTGGGGAAGGAGAGGTTCCCAGAAACAGAGAGCAATTCAGTTCTCACAGTAAATAGAAACTTATCTTTAGCCGGGGTGGTGGCACACGCCTTTAATCCCAGCACTCAGGAGGCAGAGGCAGGTGGATCTCTGTGAGTTCGAGGCCAGCCCGGTCTACCGAGCTAGGTCCAGGACAGACTCCAAAGCTACAGAGAAACCCTGTCTTGAAAAACCAAAAAAAAAAAAAAAAAAAAAGAAACTTATTTTTAAAAATACAGCATAATGACTCCTATCTTCAAAATGGAGTCAGGCAAGTTCCTCAAGACCTGTGAATCTGAGGTCCCTAAGACAATGTCACAACCTCAGAGAGAATGAAGCTATTTATTGACTAATAGTTCAAAGTTTTAATTCCAGTTTGGGCAGTGTTGGGACAATTGGTCTTTGATCATAGAAGCCCCCCCCCCAACACATGATGGAACAAACTTCTCCCCACAGTCCTAAGTGGCCTCATACTTAGGTTGTGTCCTGCTTGTTCCTGCGCCCTCACAGGAGCGGTCATGCAAAGGGCCAGTCAAAAGCTGGACTGCAGAAGGGTGACTCTCAGGGGCCACGCCCCATCCCCCTGCAGTGGAGGAGGGGTGTCCCCGGGGTTCCAGCTGGGCTCGCTTTGGGCCAGGTCTTGCCCACTCCCTGGGCGTGAGAATCGCATGGCGGCAGAGTTAGAAGCTGGGGGCAGTTCTTCACTGGGAGGTTGTGAGCCTGGAGGGAGATGGCCCGCCCTGGAGTCCGGATTTCCTCCTGGAGAGCCCAAATAGAGAAGGAGAGTTGTGTACTTAGACATCTGACCTCCACATTTCCAGGCCTCCTCCCTCGGACCCACTGGTCCAGACCCTGGGAACCTCACCCGTCATCAGCCTGTGCCACTGGGAAGCCTCTGTAGCTAGAGCCTGGGAGAGACTGAGGACCCGCTCCCGGTGGCCTCCGGATGGCGTGTAGGTTGTGGAGTGCCTGGGACTATAGAAAATAAGGCATGCGTGTCAAATAGGCCACCAAGGCCTGCTGGGAGTTGTGCTTCTTAGCTTGATCTAAAGGACTTTAAGCCCAGGCCGGGCAGTGCAGGCAGAGCAGAGCAGTAAGGTCTCCGTCACTGGGCGAACAGGCATTGGAGCTCTGCAGCTCTTGACTGGGCGTGGGGGCTCCCTGGTGCTTTTGCAGATGCCACAGGAACTCAAGGGACTGTGGCATTTTGGAGATTTGTTTTGATGCACAGGAGACTATAATCCCGCTGCTGTCTGTCTGCATCCAGATCCCACCCATCTCCACTCACCATGCTAGATCCATACCTACTCCAGGACCCAGAACTTCTGAGCCATTTCGCAGCTCCTACAATAGGCTGGAAGGAATTAAGTGGTTAGAATTCTTGCCTTGGAGAATGGTCACAAGTTCAAGGCCCGCCTGGTCTGAGTACACGACAAGATTTTGTCCAAATGGAAAGAAGGGAGGGAAATGTGGTGGGGTAAGGGGGTAAGAGAATGAAGGAAAGGAGGAGGCAGGGAAGGTAGGGAAATAGGAAGAGACTCTTGCTACTGAAGCCCCTGTTCTCCATCTCCGGCCTCTCTTCTCCTGAGTCCCCCTCCCCACCTACCTACATGCAGATCCTGGGAAATGTCAGGGGACAACCTGAGCAGACAGCAGAGGAAACAAGACATGCAGGACAAGAGGTAAAAGCCATGCGCCATGAGCCACACAGCATAGATGAACAGAAACGGCTCCATTTCTGTTGTAAGAGCTAGTTAGAAACAAGCCTAAGCTATCGGCCGAGCTTTCATACTTAGTAACAAGTCTCCTGTCATTAATTGTGAGCTGGTGGCCCAGGAAAGGTCTGACTTACAAATGGCACCCAATGTCTAGACACTCAGTTCCACCTAAGACCTGAGAAAACTTTACAAAAGGTTCCAAACCCACAAAATCAGAGCCAAATACTCCTTCCTAGTCCCACAGTCTCCCGCAGGCTGAGGTGCAGAGATGTCTTCCGGCTGCTTGAGCCACCAGCCGGCCATGAGCTTAGCTGCAGGGCAGTTTAAGGCTTTGCTCATGCAGACACAAAAGGTTATGCATACATAATACAGCAGGTTCCGACGGGGGGGGGGGGGGGGGGGGGGGGGGACTCTAAACAGGCTACGGCATGTTTTTTTGTTTGTTTCCCTGTGGCTTTTGGAGCTGTCCTGGAACTCGCTCTGTAGACCAGGCTGGCCTCGAACTCACAGAGATCCGCCTGCCTCTGCCTCTCAAATGCTGGGATTAAAGGTGTGCGCCACCAACCCCAGGCTTAGAAATAATGGTCTTAAAGAAACAGTAAAGTAATAAAAAGAATAAGCCAAACAGAGATGCACAGGAAATCGGGATACTGCACGCTATTGTGTGGTCTTTAAATTTTTTAATTGCTAATGAGCAAAGGGCAGCTCCTGAGAGACATTAGATTATAAAAGCTACTAAATTAAACCAACTTTTACACATTTTAAAAACATCTTAACTTCAAAATAGAAGTCAAAAATTATGTTAGGCTGGGGAAGAGGTTACTTTTTGTTTCCACAGGAAATGAAAGGCTGTGGATTCATTCAAGGTTGATAGAGATCAGAGTTTATTGGGGAAGACCCCTTGAAAATCCTGGCTACAGACATAAAGAAATAAACCTGAACTACAAGAGAAGTGACATATTTTACCTGCTCAAACATAAACAACAAAATCATCTTTGGCTAGCTTGTGTAGAATGCACAGTCCATGCTCGTTTTAATGTAGACATGTGCATTACTTTTGAAAGTTTATGTGACCAGACGCCCATGGAAATGGGTGGCTCACGTGATCCGGACTCTCAGATGCCTCTGCTGCAGTTTCCTCGGAGCTCTGCATCCAGAACAGCTTCAGGGCTGCTGGCTGAGATGGTCCGGCCTCACAGACCACTCTAACCAGGACTTAACCATTATCCTAATTTTCTCAGGGTCCCCAAAAGATGCCAGAGCTCCCAGACAGCAGTAAGCAGCCTAAAGAACACAACCCCCACATTCCCAAGAGGTTTTTGGTCATTTGTGGGTTATGGATATTTATCATCATTTAAGGAGGTTGGTTACAAACCATTAGTAGTCATGGTAAAACTAAAAACTGAACAAAGGAGATTAGATTCAGGGATCATGTCTTTAAAGGGAAAAAGGGAGAATACAATATAAAATGATGAGATTAAAGGGTAGATTGTCAGCCAGGCAGTGGTGGCGCACGCCTTTGATCCCAGCACTCGGGAGGCAGAGGCAGGCAGATCTCTGTGAGTTCGAGGCCAGCCTGGTCTACAAATCTACATAGACAAACCCTGTCTCAACCACCCTCCCCAAGAAAGGTGGATTGTTGAGTCCATTTTTGAACAGCCACTAGTCTCAATTATTTTATATTGGTATGGATTTTGCAAATGGATACAAATTTAAGGTTATTTTTGTTAGAACAATCTGTACGTACATTTCTACTCTTGTTTAAGGTATTCTACCTATACAGCTTAGTTAACAATATAATATAAATTTCTAATCCTTGAAAGTTATTATTATAAAATATTTAGGCTAATAAAAAATACAGGTTAATAAATAGTCACCTATAACAGTAAAACTTGTAGTCATATTAGATATGTTTTTAAGGTCAAACAGAGATATGTTTTAGATAGTCTTCAAACACGTTAAATGTTTTGTTAGCATGAGGCTTTTCATGACAATGAGATACAATTTACTTCAGAGAAGATAACGGGCACCAAAGAAACTCCATGTCACATGGAGTTTGCTTTCAATGCGGCAAAAGCAGCCATTTGGGCAAGAAACTGCTCTTGTCTTGACTGCTGACAGTGTGCTGTACGAACTGGACAAGCAGGACACAAAGGAAAAAGACTGCCGAACTCTGCCAAGATAAGGTGGGACAGTCCTTCAAACTTCCTGCTCCACAGAAGAGTCTTCCAGATATTCTAGGCCTGTAGGCTGAAGCAGATGCCCCTGAGTTGCAGATGACCCTTGGGTGACCTCCAGGCAGCCACAGGTTTGGAAGTGGCTTGCACTGCACTTCCTGTTTACTCAGGCAATAGTATGTCCTTCTGGAGTCTTTGATGGAGCTGAAGACTATATAGTTATGGCTGCAGTTTTCCTTAGTTATGATTGAAGGTAAATTAGTCACAGAGGTTTGGACTCATCAAGATAGAATAAATAATGGAGTATTTTCTCTAAATTTGACAAATACAAATGAACTAGACATTGTGTAGTCCTGGCTGTCCTGGAACTCACTCTGTAGACCAGGCTGGTCTCAAACTCACAGAGACACGCCTGCCTCTGCCTCCTGAGTGCTGGGACTAAAGGCGTGGCCACCAATGCCTGGCTCTCACTTTTCAATTTTGTATGTACATTGGTGTTTCGTCTGTATTTATGCCTGTATGAGGGTTTCAAATCACTTTGAGCTGGGTGGCAGACATTGTGAGCTGCCATGTGGGTGCTGGGAATTGAACCTGTGTCCTCTGGAAGAGCAGCCAGAGCTCTAATCACTAAGCTACATGTCTCCAGCCTCCCCTCTGTCTGAGGCCACATTATGCCAGGTCTACATCGTTTTTGTCAATGCTCCTCTTCCCAGCTCGCAGCCAACCATGGCCTTGAGGGTCTTTCATTGCTGGGATTATATGTCAGCTTTCTTCAGGGCCAGGCAGCCCTCTCTCCCATCATTATGACACGAGTTTATAGCCTAATGTGCTATTAGGAAGCAGGGCCTACTTGGAGAAGGGGGTGTGGTTAGGAACGATAAATATGTATCCATACCCCCCATCGAGTTTGGCATTACATGTGTAACAGGGACCATGGAAGCCAGAGCTACAGGGAGGCGTGGCTTTTTTCATGCCACAAAACTAAGAGAGCCTGAGTTAAACTGGACAGAGAAACTGTGTCACCCGTGTGCCCCCCCCCCCCCCCCCCCCGCTTCCTGGCAGCTCCCTCTGAACTGAAACACTGCCTGCGGGAGGCTGAGGAGATGAGCAAGCTTCACATGTCTGGGGAAGCTGAGACTTGTGCCACTGAGCCTTGGACACGGCAAACACAGGGGGAGGGGAGACTCGGGCCAGCCTGCAGCTCCGCCATTGCAGCTCTCATGAGTGGCGCTCTCATGAGCTGTCACTCACCCGGGGATGGCTTTTTGGCAGTGTGGTCGGTTTCAGGTCACCCCTGCTATGTGTAGGTAGCCCCTCACACACACTCTGTAAGTGACACCTCCTCCGGCCACCACGCTGGACTTGGGCGCAATCATGACTGTAGTCTGTAATGAGTCCCCTTTCTGGGTTAAGTGACCCTGTGTATGTGTTGCATCTCCCCAGGAAAAGCCTCTCACACGACGCCTCCTTCCTAATTCTACCCCCCCCCCCCCACTGCAGGGGGAACAAGTACAGGGCAGGATGACTTAGTTTGCAGCACGGAAGTATTCCCACTTTAGAAATGCAACAGGGGCCGGTAGTGCCTCTGATCAATAGACCCGGTTGCCTGCCAGGCTCCACCCCCAGCACTGTAGGGAACCAGGCATGCTGAGACATGCTTGTAATCTTGGCACAGGAAGGTAAAGGCAGGAGGCCAGAGATCAAAGCCAACCTTAGCTATGTAGCAAGCTCAAAGCTAGCCTGGGTTACACCACATCGGACCATGTCTCAACAAAAAAAAAAAAAAAAAAAAAAGGAAGAGAAGTTGAGAGGCTCCTGTCCCACTGCTCCCAAGACCCTAGCCTCCTCACCCTCTGCTCCAAGTCCGGCTGGCGTCCAGCTGGGGACCGCGCCCTCCCCAGGGTCAGGAGCTTCGGGGAGGCGGGGCGAGGAAGAGGAAGCCCACAAGCCTGGTTTCTGCGCATGCGCTCCAGCTGCTCCTTAGCGCTCATGCGAGGCCTCCCCACCGTGGCCTGGGGAGAGACAGACCGTGACTCTAATGTTCCGTTTCATTACACAGCCCAAGGGATCACTACAGCAGAGGCCACTGTGTCCCCTCCCTGACCCAGGAAACATGACCCAGCAGCTGGGGACAAAAGCTTCCCAAGCCCTGTGTGGCCTGATCGCTACCCTCATCTTTGGTCTCCTTCCATCACCTGCCCGCCCCCCTTAAGGAGAAGGAGGCATCGTGCCTCCTGGACATATAGCCTCTCCCAATGACTGGACCCTGAGTGGAAAACACTATTTACCTGGACACGTGTGGCATTGCTGAGCTGCGCCCCTCACTGGGGGATTCTACCAGGGCTCTAGCAGGAAGCCATGCCCCTCAGAGGGGCTTAGTAACTACCCCCAAATCACACAGCTTTTCACACAACTGCTTCTAGTACTTGAGATAAAAATCCTGTCTGCTCTGGGTGTGCTGTTTGAACTGACCTCTCCTAGTCACAGTGACCAAGCACAGTCATAGGGCAAATGGAAAGCGTCTGGGAGATACTCTACCTTACTTCTCAGCAGTGGGGAAGAGGGTTGAGGACCTTCGGGGCTCGATGCCCGGGAGACCCTTGGAGACCCAACACCTTGAAGAACAGAGGGGAACTTAGTCAGAACAAGGACACAGAGAAGGCCAGGCGGTGGTCGCCCACGCCTTTGATGCCAGCACTCAGGAGGCAGAGGTAGACGATCTCTGTGAGTTCGAGGCCAGCCTGATCTACAAGAGCGAGTTCCAGGACAGGCTCCAAAATAATACAGAGAAACCCTGTCTCAAAACACAAACAAAGAAACAAAGAACACAGACAAGCTCCCACCACACCAGGGTGCTCACCTGAGGGAGGGCTTAGGAGGGGTCTGTCACCTCCTGGAGGTCGACCCCAGTCCACCTCGGGGGACTGAGGGGAGCTAAGCTCCAGTGACTCCGGAAGGCTCTGGAAAGAAAAAATGGGGATCAGATATTGGGGTTCTTATTATTACTCTACCACAATTTTTCAAGTCCTTACCAACTGAGGCACAGCACAGAAAAGATTACATTACAAACCCAGAACCAGACATACTGGCTTCAAATCACATCTCTGCCACTGACTGGGCTGTGTGTGTAACTTTGGACAAGTTGCTTAACTTCTCTTACCCTGTCAACTCAAAACAAGCTGCTCAATGTCCCAAGCATTCCACATTTGATGTGTGAGGTTCCCAGGAGCACACACTGGGTGCCATGCTGTGGTGGAGGGGTGGTGTCTGTGGGGCTTCCCAGTGGAGCAGCTGCCTTTGAGTCACACATCATCTCCTGTAATTAACTCCTAAAACCTCAGGGTTCACCAAATAACACCTGATGCTTTCTTTGGAGTGGACAGAAAAGTCGGGAGACAGATGGAATAATGTTGTAGGACTCCAGCACACTTGGTGTGTCTAGGGTACAACATTAGAGTGAACAGTTGTTTTCTAGAAGGACTTTGACCTTTGTGGAAGCAGTGATTGTTTTCCATGATGTATAGAACTGTTTCTCGGAAGGGGTGTTGCAAGCTTCGCATGACTTTGGCTAGAAGATGCCTCTGGCACACCTGAGGTTCTTGGATTATTGTGATGTGTGGTAAAAGACTAAAGTCTTGAGGGCTCCTTCAGAGAGACATATAGATTAGATTAGGAACTTTTGTTTGTAGAACTTGTTTACCAAAAAAAAAAACCTTTGCGTAAGAATAAATATGCCTCTGTATTGGCTGTTAGAGGTTCAGCTCAGGTCATCAGAGGCTGGACCTTCCTGTTGCCACAAAGGCCTTAAAGAATTCATCTTGGGGGCTGGAGAGATGGTTCAGAGGTTAAGAGTATTTTGCTGCTCTTCTAGAGGTCTTGAGTTCAATTCCCAGCAGCCACATGGTGACTTATGACCATCAATAATTTGGTTCTGGTGCCCTCTTCTGGCGTGTAGGTATACATGCAGACAGCATTTATGCATAATAAATAAATCTTTAAAAAAAAGACCCTGTCAGAAAAACAAAAACAAACAAACAAACAAAAAGAACTTGGGAGTCAGAGGCAGGCAGATCTCTGTGAGTTCAAGGTCAGCCTGGCCTACAAAGCAAGTTCCAGGACAGGCTCCAAAGCTACTCAGAGAAACTCCGTTTTGAAAAACCAGGAAAAAAAAAAAAAATCATCTTGGAGTGACCTCTTCAACCAACTCACACAACACAAAACACCTTGTGAGAATAACAATATATAGTTGGTTGAGCACGTCTTTAATCCCAGCGCTTGGGAGACACAGACAGGTGGATTTCTGAGTCTGAAGCCAGCTGGGTCTACAAAGTGAGTTCGAGAGCAGCCATGGCTACACAGAGAAACCCTGTCTCAAAAAAATAAACAAAACACAACCCCACCCCCGCCCCCCAAAATATTAGCAATACACATACACATATATACACACGCACACATATATATACACACGCATAATATATATATACACATATATATATATATACACACACATATGTATATACTAAATAAGGGGTTGGTGAGATCTCTGAGCAAATAGGAATGCTTGCCACCACTCAGATGATTTAAGTTCCATCCGGGTCCTCCCACTTATTATCCCTGACCTCCACATAACTTTGTGACGTGAGTGCCTAGCACTCACAAAAGCGCACACACTGTGGCTGTGGGGGATCAGCCTGGGCTGTGAGCATGTCCTGTGTTCTGATTACATTCACTGATGTGGGAAGACCCAGCCTGAAACGGGAGATACCATTGCCTGGGGTTGAGCCTGGGAGCAAATAGAAGAGGGAGGGATTGAAGAAATGGTCCAGTGCTTAGGACACTTGTTCAAGTTTGTTCTTAGAACACAGGTTCAAGTCTGAGCATTCACATGATGGTCACAAGCATTCTAACCAGCTCCAGGGGGTTCAGCCCCCCCCAGCCTCCCACTCCCTCCAGCCTCCCAGCCCCCCAGCCTCCCCCAGCCTCCCGGCCCCCCAGTCTCCCCGCCCCCCCAGCCTCCCCCAGCCTGCCGCCCCCCCAGCCTCCCCCAGCCTCCCGGCCCCCCAGTCTCCCCGCCCCCCTAGCCTCCCCCAGCCTCCCGCCCCCCCAGCCTCCCCACCCCCCCAGCCTCCCCCAGCCTCCCGGCCCCCCAGTCTCCCCGCCCCCTAGCCTCCCCCAGCCTCCTGCCCCCCAGCCTCCCGCCCCCCAGCCTCCCCCAGCCTCCCCAGCCCCTCCCTGCCCCCCCAGCCTCCCCGCCCCCCAGCCTCCCGCCCCCCAGCCCCCAGCCCCTCCCGCCCCCCAGCCTCCCCGCTCCCCCAGCCTCCCTGCCCCTGCCGCCATAGAATCAAGGGAAAGGGAGTGAAATGAAGGGCTCTCACCAGGTCAGGACAGGTGCAATAGGAAACTCACCTCCCGCTCCGAGGACTCCTCTCCTTGGGGTGCAGGGGATGGAGACTTGGGCTCAGTATGTGTGGGCTGTTTCTGGGGGCCACCTAGACCTGCCAGCGTGTCCTCCACCATCCATAGCTGCTGCTGAGCAGCTGCTCGGTCCTGGCAGAAGGAAAGGGGTTTGTCTAAGAGGAGAAGATACTAGGATATCAACAGCAGATGGACCCTACCCAGAAGGTTCTAAGTTAGCCACGTGGAGGATGTCCTGGCAGTTTCTGACCGTTACAAACTCCATGTACAACGTATGAGCATGTGAAGGTCAAAAGACTTGTGGGATTGCTTTTCACCTTCCGTTCTGTGGGCCTCTGGGATTGAACTCAGGCCATCATCAGTCTTGGCAGCAAATGCCTTTGCCTACTGAGCCATCATACCAGCCCCAAGATTTTTAAAGTTTTGTTTTTTATTCATGTGTATGTGTATGTATGCGTCTCTCTGTGTATGTGGTGGTACCCCCCCCCCCAGAGCCAGAAAGGGACATCAGATCCCTTGGAGCTAGAGTTATAGGAGATTGTGAGCCATCCACTTGTGTTGGAATCTGAACCGGTCTTTTGATAGAGCAGTAAGTGCTTGTAACCAGTGAGCCGTGACCCCAGCCCCATGCTGTCAAATGTATAAAGACCTGCACATTACCACTGGCAAACCAGTTTGGGGAGCCTGCATTTCACACTGATGTCTTTCCTATCTGTGAACACGGTACATCTCTCTATTTCATTCAGATTTCATACAAGTGTGCCCAGGTGTTTCCCCTATCCCCGCCTGCCCCCTTGGTGTTTTGCCTGCATGAATGTCAGGAGCCCTGGGACTGAGCTGTGGACAGGTGTGAGCTGCCATGTGGGTGCTGGGAATGGAATCCTTGGTCCTCGGAAGAGCAGCCACCTCTCCCTGTTTACACAGCTTTAATGATAACTAATGATGTTTGTGGCTTTCACAGATGCCTGGCCAACCCTTTGCTTGAGTCTTCAGTCTCTTTCTCATTATAAAGACCAGTTTTTGGTTTGCTTGTTTGTTTGTGCTGCTGCTGCTGGTGGTGGTTTTTGCTCTTTCAAGACAGGGTCTCTCTGTGTAACAGCCCTGGCCGTCCTGGAACTCACTTTGTGGTACAGGCTGGCCTCTAACTCATGGAGATCTGCGTGCCTCTGCCTCCCCAGTGCTGGGATCAAAGGTGAAAGCCACCTCACCCTGCCATTTGTTCTGTTTTTGAGACAGTGTCCTCTTATGGCAGCTCCATCAAGCCTTTAATTATTTTTAATTTTGATGTCCTGTTCATAGTACCTTTTTTTATTATTATTATTTAAAAATAAGTTGTGAGGGCTGGGCAGCGGTGGCTCACGCCTTTAATCCCAGCAGCCAGGGCTACCTAGAGAAACCCTGTTTCATGCCCCCCTCCAAAAAAACAAAAAACCAGAACAAACAAACCAGAGAGTGCTAGAGGAACAGCTGTCAACAAAGGGCTTTCTGTGCAATACCTAACTCAAGTAAAACCATACATAGAGGCTCAAGCTTGCCATCTCAGCTCTGAGGAGCAGAGACCGGCTGACCCCTGAGCTGCACTAGCCTAGAGCACACTTCATGGGTGACTGACCAATATGAGACTCTGAAAAGCAGGGGGCATGGTGCCTGAGGATGGCTCCCACGCATACACACACCTGCACACACCTGCACACACACACACCTACACACCCGCACACACTTACACACACCTACACACCTGCATGTACTTACACACACCTGCACACACACTGAACACACTTACACACACCTGCACACACTTACACACACACAAACCTGCATGTACTTACACACACCTGCACACACACTGAACACACTTACACACACCTGCACACACTTACACGCACACACAAACCTGCATGTACTTACACACACCTGCACACACACTGAACACACTTACACACACCTGCACACACTTACACACACCCACACACATCTATACACACTTACACAACCCGCACACACTCACACACCTGCGCACACTCACACACCCACACACATCTACACACTTGCACACTTGCACACACCCGCACACACCTACACACCTGCACACACCCGCACACACTTACACACACCCCCACACACTCACACACCTGCACACACTCACACACCTGCACACACCCACACACACCTACACACCCACACACACCCACACACACCTACATGTACTTACACACACCTGCACACACTGAACACACTTACACACATCTACACACACTTACACACCTGCACACACTTACACACCTACACACTCACACACCTGCACACACCCACACACACCTACACACCCACACACACCCACACACACCTACATGTACTTACACACACCTGCACACACTGAACACACTTGCACACACCTGCACACACTTACACACACCCGCACACACTCACACACCCACACACCTGCACACACCTACGCACACTCACACACCCGCACACACTTACACACACCTGCACACACTCACACACCTGCACACACTCACACACCCGCACACACTCACACACCCGCACACACTCACACACCCGCACACACTTACACACACCTGCGCACACTCACACACCTGCACACACACACCCGCACACACTCACACACCTGCACACACTCACACACCCACACACACTCACACACCTGCGCACACTCACACACCTGCACACACTTACACACACCTGCACACACTTACACACACACAAAACAGAAGAGGAAAGAGGAGATGGGAAAGCAGGGAGAGAGAACAGAAAACTCCCAGGGATAAATTTAACAGCAACTGGCTAGACATGGACTCTCGGGGTGGAGGGGACAGGACAAGCAGGGGCTGCTGCGAGGAGACATTTAGAACCAGCCTACAAGGATTTCCAGAGAGGGTTAGCGAGGGGAAGACCACCCTACTCCATGGGCTGGGACCCCAGAATGAATAAAAGAGACAAAGGAGAAGGTCAAAGGACAGGCAGATCGCTATGAGTTCAGGCTAGCCTGGTCTACACAGCCAGTTCCAGGACAGCCACAGCAGTGCAACCTTGTCTCAAGGGCGGGTGGGGGGATGGGGGAGAGATGGTCAAGAGTACTTGCTGTTCTTCCAGAGGACTTGTGTTTGGCTCGCAGAGCACCCGTCAGGCAAACGTATAACTGAGTGTAACTGATTGTCACTGCAGTTTCAGGGACTCTAGCACCCTCTTCTGGCCTCCACGGGCACACACATACACATGTTAAAAATATGGATGTATGTGTGTGTGTATGCATATACATGTAAATAAAAAATAGCAAATCTTAAAATGTAATAAGAGAAGCAAAGCATTCTAGATTTTCTTAGAGTGAGTGAGCTAGAGGCATGCTAGCAATTCTCCACTCTGATTCTTTAATGCTTCTTTTTATTATTTTAAATATGAGTAGATGTGTGCACCTATGTGTGAGTATGTGCATGTGAGTGCAGGTACCCTGGAGACCAGGCCTGCTGGACCTGGAGTTACAGCAGCCACCATGTGGGTGGCTGGGGCCGGGACTATGGTCCTCTGGGGTCTGACTATGGTCCTCTGGGGTCTGACTATGGTCCTCTGGGGTCTGACTATGGTCCTCTGGGGTCTGACTATGGTCCTCTGGGGTCTGACTATGCTCGTCTGGGGTCTGACTATGGTCCTCTGGGGTCTGACTATGGTCGTCTGGGGTCTGACTATGGTCCTCTGGAGTCTGACTATGGTCCTCTGGGGTCTGACTATGCTCGTCTGGGGTCTGACTATGGTCCTCTGGGGTCTGACAATGCTCGTCTGGGGTCTGACTATGGTCCTCTGGGGTCTGACTATGGTCGTCTGGGGTCTGACTATGGTCCTCTGGGGTCTGACTATGGTCCTCTGGGGTCTGACTATGGTCCTCTGGAGTCTGACTATGGTCCTCTGGGGTCTGACTATGGTCGTCTGGGGTCTGACTATGGTCCTCTGGGGTCTGACTATGGTCGTCTGGGGTCTGACTATGGTCCTCTGGGGTCTGACTATGGTCCTCTGCGGTCTGACTATGGTCCTCTGGGGTCTGACTATGGTCCTCTGGAGTCTGACTATGGTCCTCTGGAGTCTGACTATGGTCCTCTGGGGTCTGACTATGGTCCTCTGGGGTCTGACTATGGTCCTCTGGGGTCTGACTATGGTCCTCTGGGGTCTGACTATGGTCCTCTGGGGTCTGACTATGGTCCTCTGGGGTCTGACTATGGTCCTCTGCGGTCTGACTATGGTCCTCTGGGGTCTGACTATGGTCCTCTGGAGTCTGACTATGGTCCTCTGGAGTCTGACTATGGTCGTCTGGGGTCTGACTATGGTCCTCTGGGGTCTGACTATGGTCGTCTGGGGTCTGACTATGGTCCTCTGGGGTCTGACTATGGTCGTCTGGGGTCTGACTATGGTCGTCTGGGGTCTGACTATGGTCCTCTGGGGTCTGACTATGGTCGTCTGGGGTCTGACTATGGTCCTCTGGGGTCTGACTATGGTCCTCTGGGGTCTGACTATGGTCGTCTGGGGTCTGACTATGGTCCTCTGGGGTCTGACTATGGTCCTCTGGGGTCTGACTATGGTCCTCTGGGGTCTGACTATGGTCCTCTGGGGTCTGACTATGGTCCTCTGGAGTCTGACTATGGTCGTCTGGGGTCTGACTATGGTCCTCTGCGGTCTGACTATGGTCCTCTGGAGTCTGACTATGGTCCTCTGGGGTCTGACTATGGTCCTCTGGAGTCTGACTATGGTCCTCTGGGGTCTGACTATGGTCCTCTGGAGTCTGACTATGGTCCTCTGGAGTCTGACTATGGTCCTCTGGGGTCTGACTATGGTCCTCTGGGGACGGGACTATGGTCGTCTGGGGTCTGACTATGATCCTCTGGGGTCTGACTATGATCCTCTGGAGTCTGACTATGGTCCTCTGGGGTCTGACTGTGGTCCTCTGGGGTCTGACTATGGTCCTCTGGGGTCTGACTATGGTCCTCTGGAGTCTGACTATGGTCCTCTGGAGTCTGACTATGGTCCTCTGGAGTCTGACTATGGTCCTCTGGGGTCTGACTATGGTCCTCTGGAGTCTGACTATGGTCCTCTGGAGTCTGACTGTGGTCCTCTGGGGTCTGACTATGGTCCTCTGGGGTCTGACTATGGTCCTCTGGGGTCTGACTATGGTCCTCTCCAAGAACAGCAGGTGCTCTTAACCACTGAGCCATCTCTCCAGCCAGATTGTCTGCATCTTGGTCCACTGCGAGTTGAGAAATCCCATCCCCTTCTCCTGCCATCATGAACTCTGCCTTACTTCCCCACAGTGAAGAACCATGTCCTCAACCCATAAACCCCAAAACAACCTAACATAACATGTGCCCTTAGCTGCTTCTTGTCAAGTATCGGGTCACATGAGGAAGGAAGTCTCTAATCCGGTGGGTGGGACTCTGGCGCCTAGACCGTGCTGGAGTGTCCAGTTTCCAGGAGGTTTTGGTGCTGTGGGCAGGGAGGGCAGGGTGAGGGCTTACCTGGGGAGACCCGAGGTGCAGTAGGTACTCAAGAGTCTCCCTTAAGGTGCTCAGGTCTTGCTCCAGGCCGCTGTATGTGTCCCAAACATGCTCTCGCTCCTGAAGTCCCAAGTAAGGGAGAGATACAAGATTAGTCCCTCAAAGCACCAGATCTTGTCCCAGCTGAGAGGAGGGAGGCTTCCTCCCACAGTCTCATTCCGGAATAGTCTTCTCTGCCTGAACTACTGGGAACCCCAGGCCACATGCCATGGACTGACCCATGCAGCCTAGAGATAAAAATTAAATACCTATTGATTTCTGTGTTTTAACATGATCCTTACAAGGATCCCATGAAATCCATACTATTTCTTTTTCTTTTAAAATCTTCTAGATTTAGACTTCTATGCCTGAGTGTTTTGCCTGTATGTATGCCTGTACGTTCTTTGCCTGCCTGGAGTACGTGGTGGCCAGAAGAGGGAGACGTCAGACCCCTGGAGCTGGAGTTACGGATGGCCATGAGCTAACATGTAGGTGCTGAGGATTGAACCCGGCTTCTCTAGAAGAGCAAAAGGGCTCTAAACCATTGAGCAATCTCTCCAATACATCTTGGTTTTTTAGACAGTCTCACTACGTAACTCTGGCTGTCCTGGAACTCACTATGTAGACCAGGCATGCTGAGCTCAGATTCACAGAGATCCTTGCCTCTGGCTCCTCCAATACTATTTTTATTATCTGGAGAAATGCCCTGAGTATTTCAATAACTTTTTTAAGGTCATAGGAACAACAATAAAAGGTCATAGTAACACTCAGGGGAAGTTTATCCAAAGCCAGACAGCCCGTATGGAGTGAGGAGGCCAGCAGGAAAAGGTGCCTGCCAGCAAGCCTGAAGCCCTGCTCCATCCCAGAAACCGCACAGCGGAAGTGAGAGCCAGCCCTATAAGCTGCTCTCTGGCCACCACCTGCACGCTGGTTCAAGTACACACAACTCATCTTTAAACACTTGCTTTTGTGTGTGCAAGCGCTCATGCATGAGTGAAAAGGACAACTTGTGGAAGTTGGCTCTCTTTGCCAGCCGTGTGGGTTCGAGAAATCAGGTCCTGAGGCTTGGGGACAGGTGCTCTTAGCTGCAGAGACATCTCATCAAGCCAGCACACAGAATAAACAACAACAACAACAATAATAATAATAAGCAGCTATCCCTTTGGATTCACTTTGTAGGCATGGTGGTACATGCCTTTAACCCTAGCAGGAGGAAGGCAGCAGATGAAGCAGAACTTTGAGTTCCAGGCCAGCTGGAAACACTTAGTGAGACTATTTGAAAACTAATATAAAACCAAATAAGATCATCTTTTGACTGAGGGCCTGGGTTCACATGTATGTATGTGTTATGTGTGCAGAGGGAAAGAAGTAGATTCACTGTATCTAGGGCAAGCATCAGAGAGAAATATTTGTTGTTGGGGGTATTTATAGCTTGAAGAAATCACCGTGGAAACAGTGATTGTTTTCTGGTAGCTATAGAGCTGTTTTTCTGAAGGAGTCTTTGCATGGCTTTAGTCACAAGAGGGCCCTGGAAAGTCTGGCATCAGTGGGTACCACAAACAGGGTACAACAAGGACTAATTTTTCAAGGTGTGATGTTTCCTTCACGAAGCATATAGACTAGATCAGGGGTTTGGTGTGAGAATCTTATTTTACCTTTTGTGTAACAATCAATAAATACACCTTTGCACAGCTGTTCAGGGTTCAGTTCATAGAAACTGTCTCTCCCTGCTGTCAAAGAGAACCTAAATTACATCCTGGCATGACCCTCTTTCTTCGACTGACCCACTTCTACATCCAACATATGTATTCATATATTGCACATATATGTTCATATGTATACACATATGTATAATAGAAAATAATAAATACATTGTAAAAATCATTCTTTTGGACAGAGGTGGTGGTGCACACCATTAATCCCAGCATTCAGAGGCAGAGACAGTTGGATCTCTGAGTTCGAGGCCAGCCTGGTCTACAGAGTGAATTCCAGGACAGCCAGGACTGTTACAGAGAAACCCTGTCTCAATAAAATAATAATGATCATCACCATCCCCTTAAGTGTCTAAGTTTTGTTATTGCTTGGTTGCTTGACCCTTACCCTCTTCTATAATGATCAAGACTATGGGTTTAAGGGGCCAGAGGACCAGTAAGATGGATCAATTGGTAAAGGCATTTGCTGCCAAGTCTGATGGCTTGAGTTTGGTCTCCAGGACAAGCAGGGTAGAAGAAGAGACTGACTCCTTTAACTTGTCCTCTTTCTCTCTCTCTCTCTCTCTCTCTCTCTCTCTCTCTCTCTCTCTCTCTCACACACACACACACACACACACACACACACAGAGAGAGAGAGAGAGAGAGAGAGAGAGAGAGAGAGAGAGAGAGAGAGAGAACATATTCTTAAAATGTGTGTGTGGGTTCTGACGGCTCAAGAAGGACCACAAGCCTACAGTCTCCACAGCAGCCTGCACAAGCCTGGGACCATGCTCTCCCCAGATGCTCACCTGAGTCAGGTGACACAGAGCAGCCCTCACGTTCACCAGGCGGTCCTGCAGAAGGCGTTGGTGACCCCAGGCCTTCCCGGAAGCAGCAGCCTCCCTGGTAGCTTGGCCCAGCTGCTGCCTGGTCAGCTCTAAGGCTGCCTCTAGCTGCTCCTGCAGAGAGCAGTGGTCAGACCTCTGAAGCCACTTCCAACCCAAGAAGATGAGTGTAGCCCCAAGGGCAGGGGCAGCTAAGGCCTCTCCCTCCTGCACCTTCTCTCCCTGCCTTTTGTCCAGGTCCTCCTGTATCCGCCTCAGCAGCCGATCCTGTCCACACAGCTTGGTCAGCAGAGCCTGGGGGAAAGTGACAAAGTGTTTATGAACCTCAGCCAGCTTCGTCTAGAACAGTGATTCTCTGCCTTCCTAATGCTGTGAACCTTTAATACAGTCCCTTGTGTTATGGTGACCCCCAACCATAAAATTACTTTGTTGCTACTTCATAAATGTAATTTGTTACTGTGATGAATTGTATGTAAATACCTGATAAACATCCCCAAGGTGGTCATGACCCACAGGTTGAGAACCTCTGGTCTAGAGCCTTTTCAACTCTGAGAATTTGACAGGCATTGTATCTGAGAGAACTTACATCAGTCTCCAGGCCCTGGTGCAAAGTTGAGTCGGCTGGGGGACCTGGCTGAGGAGGAGAAAATTCCAAGGTCAAAGGGGTTTGACGTCCATTTTTATAAACCTTTCCTTAGCCCCCTTCGGTACAGCATGCTGTTTGGTTCTAAGGCTGTCAGTAAGAATAAATTCATTAAATCCAAATTTGAATTGAATATGAATCTTTGATCTTCCCCAGGGGTTTCAAGCCCTACAGCAAGAACAATATCAAAATGAATTCCAAGTGATGCTTGTCAGGTCTCAAAGGAACCGGGGACAAAGGCTAAGGTGTCTATTTAACACATCAACGATGACACCGCCTCATCATTGCACCCCACCCCTACCCTGAAGCTCTCCAGCCCAGGAGCTTCCCCCCTCCCCTTCCTCTCCCCTCCCCCTCCCCTCCCCTCCCCCTCCTCTCCCCTCCCCTCATCCCTCCCCTCCCCCTTCTTCCAGCTTCTCCGATTACTGTATGTATCACCCATCCTTTTGGCTACGTGGTTGGTTACTTGGTTTCTTGATCTCTTGTCCTTGGCTCCTCTCTTTGTACCCTTTTTGTTGTTGTTGTTGTTGTTGTTGTTGTTTTGTTTTTTCCGAGACAGGCTTTCTCTGTGGCTTTGGAGCCTGTCCTGGAACTCGCTCTGTAGACCAGGCTGGCCGCGAACTCACAGAGATCCGCCTGCCTCTGCCTCCCGAGTGCTGGGATCAAAGGCGTGCGCCGCCAGCCCTTCGTTCTCTTCCCCTGGCCCTGTTCAGCCTGGGCTCTTCAGAGGCCTCTGGCTACCCTCTCACTCATACAACGAAACTTACCAGCAAAATCATGGAGGCCCGGGTCCCTGGGGGTCTTGGGGGCAGCTGGAGATAGGTCGGAGAACTGGGGCAGGCCTGGGTAGACTGAAATGAACATGCTTAGAGACATCTTGTTAGACCTACCTAGTGGCGCAGGCCGTCATCTCAGCTACTCTGGAGGCCTAGGTAACAGAATGAGTTCAAAGCCAGCCTGGGCAATTCTGTCTCAAAATAAGTAAAAAAGAGGGCTGGGGATAAGTCAGTGGTAGAGTACTTGCCTAGAACGATCAGGCTCTGCTGAGCACACACACATACACATCCTCAATTAACCTGGCACCTAACACACACACACACGCACACGCACACGACATTAATCAATGGACGAGCCTGGTAAAACTGCTAGGGGCTGTAGGAGGCTAGCTGAAGATACTCTAGGCTATAACTCCATGACTCTTGGAGAAATTATCTAGAGGCTGGCTATCTTGACACAAAACTGGAAACCAAACTATGCCTCAGTTTGGTGTAGAGTATGGTGGACTACAATACCCACAATGCACAGGAACAATGGTACAAAAAATAATTCTGAGGCCTGATGGGACATGAAATCCACTAGTCTTTGATGGCGCGGGGACGGGGATAGACACCCAGTGCGTTGTGAACTATAATCCCCATAATGCCTGTGAGGCATGACTCGATCTCTGGCCTGGAAAGGGAGCTTTGAAGCCTGACGGGAAATGTAGTCCGCTCTCTTGGCGCACCTGCGTTCTAGGCTCTTGCCTCCAGGGCTGGGGACTCCTGGGTGGCCGTCCTCCACCAACTTCAGAGGACGGTCCTCGGTGAGGAGTGGGAGGTCGGGAGAGGGTCTGTCTTTGGGGTCCCCAATCCAGAGGAGGTCGGACATCGATGCGACTCAAGGGCGTGTGAGGTCGGGCAGGAAATGGTATGTCTCCTGCCGAGAGAGGGGGTCGCCGTGCCGGGGCAGAACGAGGACGGGGAAGGCTCAGAGGGGAAGGCGGGCGAGAGAGGGATGAGAACAGCCTGAGCAGAGGAGAGAATCCGAGAACTGAGTCAGTCTGAGCCTCTGCTCCCAGCCCACCTCACTACCGCAAGCAAAGTCTGGTTTCCCTGATTGCACTGCCCTTCTCTGCTGGGGATTGTGGGTGAGTTCCCTTTGGAAACTCTGAAAGGATCAAGACACCACCAGGGGTCTCCAGGCCTCGCCCTTCCCTTAAGCCAAGCCTCCAGCGGGTTTCCCCTTTCCTTAGACCACCAACCCGCCCCTGACCCCTGACGGGTGCAAATACTCCTTTAACGCCTCCTTCCGTTATGCCACGCCCTCCACCTGTGATAATGATAGGGCTCCACCCTAAACCCCCAAAGTGTTCCTACTTACTCTGGGGTCCTGGTCCTCCTGCTCCACGAGTCAGACTGCAGATCAGCTGTAGGGCTGGACGTGTATACCCCACGTCTACCACGATCTCTGGAGAGCCGAGCTACCTCTGGTGATTCTGAGATATGCCCTTCTTCCCTCCTGTTCACTTCCGGTGGGCCCCCGGGACCCCCGGGGCCTTCCCCAGGCTGGGGACGTGCAGGCGACCTAGAGAGTCCACTAGCAAATGGGCACATAGGGTGACATCACTCTTGCGTCTAAAAGACCACTGGCTCTACAGGCACAGGACCTAGTGTCCAGAGGTCTAGGCCTTGGAATACTCTGGGGGAGTAAGTGCCTGAGAAAGTCTGATATTTGGGGGGAAAAAATAGGGTGTGTGTGTGGGGGGGGTGAGGTGATGTCTTTTTGAAGTGGCCTTGTGATTATCCAGCTTTAGCCTCCAAGAACTGCTGGGAACACATTTTAAATCCCAGCACTTGAGAGTCAGAGGCAGGCGGATCTCTATGAGTTCGAGGCCAGCCTGGTCTACAGAGCGAGTTCCAGGACAGGCTCCAAAGCTACACAGAGAAACCCTGCCTCGAGGGAAAAAAAACAAAAAAGTTTGGCCCTTGATAGGAAGGGCCTGAACTCAAGGGCATCCTGGGTGAATACAAATGGGACCCTTGAGGGTGAGGAGGAAACCAATCAATCAATCAGGGTAAGGTGGTGGCACACACATTTAATCTCAGCCTTGGGGAAGCAGAGGCAGGTAAATCCTTGTTCTAGGCCAACCAGGGTTATACAGTGAGACCCAGTGTCAAAAACCAAAAGTTAACCAACCAACCAAACAGCTAGGCATGGCTCTGCTTGTCAGTACCCAAGAAAAACGGGGGGGGGGGGGAGCTGAGACCCTGAGAGCTTGTGGGCAAGCTTCCAGCTCAGCGAGGCCCTGTTTCAAGGCATTAAGATGGACAGCAATAGAAAAACACACCCGATGCCTTGCTCTAGCCTCTGTATGCACTGACACGGGCATAGACACTTGCACACTAGCGTGCATGCACCACACACACACACACACACACACACTCACTCACTGGGGAGGTAGCTCAGTACTAGACAGCTTGCTTCAAGTATGACCCTGGCTTCCATCCCCAGTAAATAAGCTGGAACTGGAGAGGTGGCCCAGTGATTAGTTGAATGCTTGCTGCTCTTTTAGAGAACCCAAGTTCAGCTCGTAGCACCTACATTAGCAACTCACGGTCGATCCAGAAGGAGCTAACACCTCTGGCCTCCACCAGCACCCAAACTCATGAGTGCATACCTACCCACACAGACATACAACCGACCGGCCAGACTCATGAGTGCATACATACCCACACAGACAACCGACCGGCCAGACTCATGAGTGCATTACCTACCCACACAGACATACAACCGACCAGCCAGACTCATGAGTGCATACATACCCACAGACATACAACCAACCAGCCAGACTCATGAGTGCATTACCTACCCACACAGACATACAACCGACCAGCCAGACTCATGAGTGCATACCTACCCACACAGACATACAACCGACCAGCCAGACTCATGAGTGCATACATACCCACAGACATACAACCGACCAGCCAGACTCATGAGTGCATACATACCCACAGACATACAACCGACCAGCCAGACTCATGAGTGCATACTTACCCACACAGACATACAACCGACCAGCCAGACTCATGAGTGCATACATACCCACACAGACATACAACCGACCAGCCAGACTCATGAGTGCATACATACCCACAGACATACAACCAACCAGCCAGACTCATGAGTGCATACTTACCCACACAGACATACAACCGACCAGCCAGACTCATGAGTGCATACTTACCCACACAGACATACAACCGACCGGCCAGACTCATGAGTGCATACATACCCACACAGACATACAACCAACCAGCTAAGCAAAACTCACACAGGGCTGGGGATGTGGTTTAGCTGGCAGAGTGTGGGGAACCCCGGAGCAAAGTTAGCATCTTCACAGCCATCTTGCCTACTACTCTCTCAGACACTAACACACTGGTAATTTTCCATTCCCCTATGGCTGTTCTCCTGGGAAGCATGTGACGCAGCCTGACTCTGAAACAGTCTCAGCTGCAGGGTTATCGTACAGCACGTTATCTTATAGCAGAACATCTGCATTCTGCTTGGAAGCACATTCTGCCTCCCTCACATCCTCCCTTTGGCCCAGTCCCTCATTTCTCCACCACTAAACTCTGTGGTTATATTCATTAAACGAGACGATCAGAACACCGTCTTGCCTCCATCTTGTCCCCTTATTCTCCTTCCCTCCCGTCGACTGACCCCGTGGGCTGGGACAGTAGAGTGCCTAAGGACTGGGCATGGCGGCCCACATCTGGAATTCCAGCCCTTGCAAAGTGGACCCAACCGGTATGATCAGAATTCAAGGTGATCAACTACACAGCCAGTTCTAGGCTGGTCTGGACTATTGGACCCCTTGTTCAAAAACCAAAACCAGAGTGGTTGTACATGCTTGTTTTTAATCCAGGGGCAGATCTCTAAGCTCAAGGCCAACCTGGTCTACACAGAGTTCCAGAACAGCCATGGCTACATAGATCCTTTCTCAAAAAAAAAAAAAAAAAAAAAAAGTAAAAATAAATGAATAAATGGATTTTACAAACACTTTTGAATGAGGCCTGGCTTTGTAGCTGGAGATGGCTCGGGTTAAGCATACTCCCTGCTCTTCCACAAGACCTGGGTTCAATTCCCTTAAGGCAGCTCACAGCTGCACTTCTAATTCCGGGAGATCTGGCACCCTCTTCTGGCCTCTTCGGGCCATGCACATATGTGGTCCATGCTAGTAAACACTCACATACATGCAATAAAAAGAAACAAGTCCTTTTAAAAACGTGGCGTGGCCTCGCAGCTGGCATTGTCTAAGGGCGCCGGCCAGGACTTCATGTTCTGAGGGGAAAGCGTTCCTAACTCCTTGGGTGGAGTTGAGAATGTCTACCGAACTTGACTAAAGGGTTAGTTGGGAGTCAGGCTGGACAAGAAGGTGGGCAGATCTTGTTTGGTTTTTTTTTTTCGAAACAGGGTTTCTCTGTAGCTTTGGAGCCTGTCCTGGCACTTGCTCTGTAGACCAGGCTGGCCTCAAACTCATGGACATCTGACTGCCTCTGCCTCCCGAGTGCTGGGACTAAAGGCGAGCACCACCACAGCCACACACAGGTGGGCAGGTCTTAAAAGAAAAAAGCTTTTGCTAAGAAGGGGTCTGTGATGGTAGAGTCTACTTGGGAGATAGCCAGGAATGGCATATTTAAGTGAGTGCCCTACAAAGGCCTGATGGGAAGCGTGCCTGGCTTTCACTCACCAGTCTTCCCCCTCTGCTCGAGAAGCCCTTCCCAGAGCCCGTAGCCAACCTCTTAGGTCCTCCAACGTATCAGCTGCAAGGACATAGGTCCTCATGCCTGGGTGCTCTGCCTGCAAGGGACAGAGGCTTGGGACTGGAACTCAGAGGAAGCATGGTAAGGCCTCTTCAAATGTGGAAACCCCAAGCCACGATCACCTCAAGTTCCCAGCTACCACTAACACACATACTCACCGTGAAGGTGAATCGACGGCCACGTGGCGCTCCTGGCCCATCCGGCCTGACACTGTAGCTGGGTAACAGCACACTGCCCAGGACACTCCCTTCTCTGCTATCTGCAGAGAGGGGTTGGGGTCAGAGGTCACGACGCCCAAGAAAGACACTGGTGGGAGAGGGCTAGCTGGGACACTGACCCTTGTAGTAGAAGAGGCAATGGCCTGAGAGGACAAACCAGCGGCGCTTCCACAGCCTCAGGCCTGAGCTATCCTGGGGAGAGAGACGAGAAAGAGGCTGAGCAGACTAGAGAAGAATGTTCCAGGGGACAGAGGGACATAGACTGCGGAGGTGGAAAGACAGAGAGACAGAGGCCCAGAGAGACCCGAGGAAAGAGATGGTGGCAGAGACCCAGAGAGGCCGGCACAGAGAAGGGGGGGGGCGAGGCAGAGACGAGGGAAAGGGAGGGAGGGGGCGGAGGGACCGGCGGCCAGGAGGTATCTGTTGGTTTGATGGATTTGCAGCTGAAAGCTGGGTACCTGATAGAGTGATAGCACATCCGGCTCTAAGTTCGGCCACTTTTAACCTTAGAAAAGTCACACCGCCACTAGGACCTGACTTCCCATCTGTCCACTGAGGCCGCCACTAGGACCTGACTTCCCATCTGTCCACTGAGGCCGCCTCTAGGACCTGACTTCCCCCATCTGTCCACTGAGGCCGCCACTAGGACCTGACTTCCCATCTGTCCACTGAGGCCGCCACTAGGACCTGACTTCCCCCATCTGTCCACTGAGGCCGCCACTAGGACCTGACTTCCCATCTGTCCACTGAGGCCGCCACTAGGACCTGACTTCCCATCTGTCCACTGAGGCCGCCACTAGGACCTGACTTCCCATCTGTCCACTGAGGCCGCCTCTAGGACCTGACTTCCCATCTGTCCACTGAGGCCGCCTCTAGGACCTGACTTCCCATCTGTCCACTGAGGTTCAAGAAATGTCTGGAAGGTTTGGTTGAGGTAATGCGCCACAGATACGGATACAGGATCTTGGTGCGAATGTTCAAAGCCTGAGATGTAGAAGATTCCCTATCACGTGCTGTTACTTCCCCACAAACTCCCAACAGCTATTCAAAATGTTGTGGGTTTCCTTTGTCTCTCGTAGCCTGGGCTGGCTTTGAATCTGCTTTGTAGCTGAAAGATCCTCCTGCCTCTGCCTCCTTAGCCCTGAGATTATGGGCCAGTCCATTTATTTATTTACTAATCCATTACACAATTCCTGCCCCATCCCGAACATCTTGTTATTATTTTTTATTTATTTGGTTTAGTGTTTTCGAGGCAGGGTCTCTGTATGTTGTCCTGCCTGCCTCTGCCTCAGGAGCTCTGGGATTAAAGGCATGTGCGGCCATGCTCTGTATTTCACCTTGATTTTAAATATAGTCTAATACTTGTTCATCTTATGTGTCTATAACCTGTGCCCTGGGGCCAGGAACATGAAATATTCAAAACACAGACAGGAAATGAATGTTTAAGGTATGGAGGAAACCATACCAGGTTGAGGATGAGGCAACAGAAGCCTATCATGCCGGGAATGTGGAAGGAAACTCGGGTGCACCCAGGCACCGCAGCTTGCCTCCAACCTTACCTGCTTATGCAGCCAGCCTCGGATGTGCACCGGCAGGTTGGGGTCTCGCCGAAGTGCATTGTTCCTTTTCCCAAAGGCATGGACCTTGTGTACTGCACGAGTAGGCTTCTGGGGTGTGATAGGAACAGAAGTGAATGAGGGCTTCCCCTTCCCCTGGGACTGTCTCCCAAGTGGCCTTTTCTTAGAAAGCAGGAAAGGAGGCTGAGCAGGGCAATACATGCCTGCAAAACCAGCACTCGGCATAGAGATGCAGGAGATCCAGGGCTCAACATAGTGAGTACAGACAGTCTGTACTCAAACCAAACAGAGTGACAAGGATTTTAGTTCACACAGTGCTTCCTCATCATACATGAAGCATGCATTCATGTCCCAGCATGGCATAAGCCATGGGCTTACATTACAAGAGTGATGTAACCCCATCACTCTGGAGGGAGAGCTCTGCAGAGTTAAAAATCCAGGGTTGCTGGGTGGTGGCACGCGCCTTAGCACTCGGGAGGCAAAGGCAGGCAGATTTCTGAGTTTGAGGCCAGCCAGGTCTACAGAGCGAGCTCCAGGACAGCCAGGGCTACATAGTGAGATCCTGTCTTAATGACAAGCTTTAGGTCACTTTTTTGGGCTACATAGGGAGGTCAAGTTCAGCCTGGGCATCATGAGACCCTGTAGAGGTGCCCTTGGCAAAAACATGTTCTTGGCTGCCACAGCCAGGGACATCAAAAACCCTCAGCAGTATGCTTCGAGTCGTCCAGCCCATCCTCCCCCAGGACAGAAGGGTGTCTTTGATGCTGGGCAGAGACATCCTCAGCGAGGAAGTTCAAGGTGGAGATGTATGGCTTCTCCTCCTTCAGTCTGTCACTTGCCTCAGAGGGGGACCTGTGAACACAGACTGCACGGATCCCCAAGCCCAAGCTGCCTGGGATTATGCTCCTTTTTGGGAGCTGCTGACCAAGGCTGGAAACAAATCTCTGGACTCTGGACTTAAGGGAGTAAGGTGAATTCTGTCCTACTGATATTTATAAATCACTATGTACGCAAGGTTGACTCTGAATTTCTGACCCTCTTGCCTCTACTTCTTGAATGTTGGAATTTGAGGTATGTACCACCACACCTGGCTCATTCAGTCATGAGTTGTTTTTTGTTGTTTTCAAGACAGGGTCTCACTATGTAGCTCTGGCTGTCCTGCAACTCACTCTGTAGACCTGGCTGCCCTCAAATTCACGCAGATCCACCTGCCTCTCCCTCCCCGGTGCTCAGATTAAACACATGTGCCACCACACCTGGTTTGGGATTTTATTGTCTTGCATGTTGTTTTGCCTAATCTGTGTTTCTGCCTCTACCTCCCCAATACAGGATAACAGTTGTAAACCACCATGCCTGCTTGCTAGTGGGTGGGTAGAGGGTTATAGACTGCGGAGGGTGCCCCCTAGTCCAGTCAAGAGTAGACAGCCCCTCTCAGCCGAGGTTTGTTCTTCTGTTAGGAAGACTGGGAGGGTGGGAACAGAGCTGGGAATGTCTCCAAATTCCCAGCTGCAGCTGGGACAGGTCGCGGTGGCGGCACAGAACCTACAGCTAGGAAATGGTACAGGACCGCCCTTTGCCCCCTCCGGACCCCGTTGAAGTGTGGAAGGACCTTGGTGCCCGGGCTGCTCACGGAAGACACAGAGGAAGCACTGCTGGCCAGGCTCAGGCTGCTCCGGGGGCGGCCCTGCTCCATCGAGAACTCTGGGAGAAAGAGAAAGGGGCTGTGTCTCTCCACTGATGGGGGCTGAGGACAGAGCCGGGGTCAGGTCATGGAGGTCAGGGAATGCCGAGGAGAAAGAAACTGTTGTTTGGGGACTGAGGGGCTGGGGGAGGCCATGGTCAGGGATCACATACCAAGAGCCATGCCAAGAGAGGTGGGTGGCTCTGGCAACTGTGGGGAGGGGGCAGCTGTCTGCAGCCCGGCCATAAGAATAGGGGCCCCTTTATTCCTGCCCGCTGAACTCTGGCAAGGAATGTGACCCCCTGTGCGCACAGGCATTCTACTCCATGCCTCCTTCAGCGTGCCCTGGGCTACCTGTCCCTGTCTTCTCTCCTGAACCCCAAACCATCTTTGTCAGCTCCCCCAACACAACTCCTGACACTGGGAACGAGCATCCAGGCAAGTCCCTCCCGGCCCAGCCAGGGACTTACCAGCTCTGCTGCCAGGGACAGCTCCGTCACCCTTTTGTGGCTCAGGCACTGCCTCTGAGGGCTGCCTCTTCTCACCTGACGTCTGCTCCAACTCTTGTTTATGAGCCCCTGCTCACTCACCGTCCTCTCCCTCGCCCCTGTCCAGTCCCTCTCTTACCTCACTGCTCCTGTCCAACTCCCCCTCTGCTGTCCCTGTCACTCCCTAGTGCCTGTCCCCACACTCAGCCTTCCTCTCCCCTACAGGCACATCTGTTTCCTTTCTTCTCTCTCAACTTCTCTCCTCACTTTCTCTCTTCCTCCCTCTCCCGGTTTCTCTTTCCTCTCTGCTGGGCTTTCCCTCTCTCTCTCTCCCTCCCTGGCAGCCGCCCACGCTGCTGCCTCCCCTCCCAATCATGGCTGTCCCCGCCTCTTCTGGCCTCCCCACTAGACAGCCTGACCCCTGGCTCAGCTGCCCCCACAGCTAAAGAGAGGGATTGGGATTCCTCAACTCCTGGCTCCCCCAAGCTGTGGCTGGGACTCCTCAGCGTTTGGAAGAGAGACTTGAACCCCAGGACACCATGGGTTCGTTGTTACTTGGGGTTCTCAGCTCTGGCTGAGAGGTGTCCTGGGTCTTTTGAAGAATGGGGTCTCCAGCTCCTGAAACCTTGGGACTTGAGGATACAGCCTGGCTGGTGGGTCCCTGGGGAGGTGTGAGCTAAAAGTCCGGACACACCCACCGAACAGCCACGCCCACAAGTGTGGCCTTGACCACATGAGGCGGTGGATCGTCTGCCATGGTCCTGGAAGGAGGGGGTCAAAATCCTAGAGTACTGTGTCCTGGCAAGGACAGGGTTAAGTGGCCAGTTTGAAATTTCTCCCTCAGATCAGGCTGATAACCCATTGGAAGGGAGGAATGGTGACTTGATACTTTCTGAGGGTTAAGGGTGGAGCTCCAAGAGAGCACTGTCCAGGATGCGGGAGGCCCTGGGATCCACCCCCAGAAAAACCACACTCACACACACACACACACACACACACACACACACACACACACACAGAGCACACAGGTAGGGAGAGGAGGGGAGGCTGGAACTGGGTCTCTGGGATTGAAACTGAGCCCTACCCCTACCAGATTGCAGCCCAATCAGAATTTCAAATTGCACAACCAACCTTTACATAATCTTGAAGCAGTGCAGAATACTGATGCCTGGCTATGAAAGCCAAGCAGTCTGTTTAGCAGCATTGTCCGCACAGTATTTATTGAGGTCACACTTGTAATCTCTATACTGGGAAAGCTAAGGTAGGGCTGTGGAGAGTTCGAGGACAGCCTGGACTACACAGATAGAGTTCAGCCTGGGTTGCATAGGCAATCCTGGAATACAAAATAGGTTCCTGTCAAAGGACAAAAACAAGACAAACGAAATGGAAATATGTGTGTGTGTGTGTGTGTTTAAAGAAGGCATTGGGCTGGGGTCACTGCTTCTCTGTACACAGTAGGAGGATTGCCCAAAAATCAAGGTTGGCCTGAGCTTACCAGGTGAGTTCCAGGACAGTGTGGACTAAACTGTGAAATCCTGTCTGAGACACACCAAAAGCCAAGGGAATAGAAAGATGGCTCAGGGCTTGAGCACTGGCTACTCTTGCAGATGATCCAAACTCAGTTCCCAGAACCCACACGCAGGTTCACGATCACCTCTACAAGATCGGAGCCATCTTCTGGCCTCCACATGCATCACATACAGAGGTAGACATACACACACATATAGATACATGCACATATATGAAAACACTCATACATAAAATAAGGAAAAAGCTTTGTTTTGTTTTTCCAGTTTGGGTCTCACTATGTGGCTCTGGCTGTCCCAGAACTCATTATGTAGACCAGGCTAGGCTCCAGCTCAGATCCACCTGCGTCTGCCTCCAAGTGCAGAGATTAAAGGCGTGTGCCATCATGGCTGACAAGATTAAAAAAAAAAAAATCCCACGTAGCTCTGGAGTCCAGGGGGGCCTTAAACTCACAGTAATCCTCCCTTCTCTGCCCCTTTAGTGCTGGGATTAAAGGTGTGCGCTTCTACGGCTGGCATTTTAAAAGGTTTTGTTTGTTTTTTTTTTTAAATAATGAATACAGCTGAGTGGTAGTAGCACACGCCTTTAATCCCAGCACTCAGGAGACAGGCGGCAGGTGGATCTCTGTGAGTTTGAGGCCAGCCTCATCTACAGAGCAAGTTCCAGGACAGCCAGGACCACACAGAAACCCTGTCTCAAAAAAAAAAAAAAAAAAAAAAACAAAAAAAAACCAAAAAAAAACAAGCAAACAACAACAAAAAAAACCACACTTAGTGTTTTGCCTTCAAATAAAACTGATCCTGCACTCCTGCCTTGATTAAAAATGGCAGACGTGGTGGTGCACGCCCTTAACCCCGGCACTTTGGAGACAACAGTATCACCGTTCCGAAGCCAGTCCTTGTCTTTCAAAAATAAAATTAAAAAAAAGAAAATTAATTAGCTTGGTAAGACGAGCGCCTAGCTGTGCAAGTGCAGAGTAACAGGTCGCAAGGTTTGCGCCAAGGACACGCCCGGAAAGGACGCGATGACGTCACAGAGCTCGGAATGTCCGCGAGAAGTTGGGTGTTGTTTTCCTCTTCCCACCTTTCCCGGGAACTCCGCGGCCCCGCCCTCCAGTGACGTCAGAGGCCACGGCGGTCTATAAAAGCCGTGTTGCGGGCTGTTGCGGAGATTTATTTCAGTGCTCCACTGTGAAGGTTGCATGCAAAGCCCTGCGCGACTGCGCACCGCGGCGTCGGACACTGTGAGGCCTCACGTCCCCGAGCCACACGCCTGAGCGCGACATGAACGCGCCGGCCTTGCGAGACCATCGGACCCGCGACCGCTTTTGGCAGCCCGAGCCGGCGCTCCTGTCCCCGGGGTGACGCGCAGCCCGCCGGTGCGTGGGGCCGGGGCTCCGCGGGCTGGGCCGGGGCTCCGCGGGCTGGGCCGGGGCTCCGCGGGCCGGGCCGGGATGGGGCTCCGCGGGCCGGGCCGGGATGGGGCTCCGCGGGCCGGGCCGGGATGGGGCTCCGCGGGCCGGGCCGGGATGGGGCTCCGCGGGCCGGGCCGGGATGGGGCTCCGCGGGCCGGGCCGGGATGGGGCTCCGCGGGCCGGGCCGGGATGGGGCTCCGCGGGCCGGGCCGGGATGGGGCTCCGCGGGCCGGGCCGGGATGGGGCTCCGCGGGCCGGGCCGGGATGGGGCTCCGCGGGCCGGGCCGGGATGGGGCTCCGCGGGCCGGGCCGGGATGGGGCTCCGCGGGCCGGGCCGGGATGGGGCTCCGCGGGCCGGGCCGGGATGGGGCTCCGCGGGCCGGGCCGGGATGGGGCTCCGCGGGCCGGGCCGGGATGGGGCTCCGCGGGCCGGGCCGGGATGGGGCTCCGCGGGCCGGGCCGGGATGGGGCTCCGCGGGCCGGGCCGGGATGGGGCTCCGCGGGCCGGGCCGGGATGGGGCTCCGCGGGCCGGGCCGGGATGGGGCTCCGCGGGCCGGGCCGGGGCTCCGCGGGCCGGGCCGGGGCTCCGCGGGCCGGGCCGGGGCAGATGCTCGCTCGCTCGCTCGCTCTGGTCTGAGCCGCCTTGATGGCGTCTCTGGAAGGGACAACCGCAAAACCTGTCTAGAGCCGGGTAAAGGGAAGGGCTCCAGGAGGAGTGGCCTGGGGCCCGGACGTGGGCAGGAGGAGGTTTTAGGGGCGTGAACGCGTGCCTGGTGGGGAGAAAGCGCCTTAAGCCAGTTACCCGGTCTCAGGAGGGCTGGGCGGGGGTCTCTGACGGGGCGAAGAAACGGGGTTGTAGCCCCGAGGCCCCAGACTAGGAGGTGTGAGCAGTGCTGTTAGGAATTTGAGGCGTGGGTACTCGTGGTGTTGCTGTGACTATTTATGTTACCCGTGAGTCAAGGCTGTGGCATGATATTATTTCCAGAGTGGCTTCTAAACTATTTCCTCTTTTCCAGCTCAGACACATGGCCCCAAGCCCAAGACCCCAGCATACCCTGCTCTGGAGGGATGCCCACTCCTGCTACCTCCTGTCTCCACTGATGGGCTTTCTCAGCCGGGCCTGGAGCCGCCTGAGGAGCCCAGAAGCCCCAGAGCCCTGGCTGGCAGAAACGGTAACTGGAGCAGATCTGATAGAAGCGAAGGATCGGCCTGCAGCCGAGAACCATGTCCCTCGGGGGGAGGCTGAAGAAAGTGGAACTCTTGAAGAGGGTAAAGCCGCCCAAGGGCCCGGCCTTGATGTGCGGGGACTTTCAAGTGACGACACACACCCTGAGAAGCAAGGACACCAAGGCCCTAGAGAGCAGGGCAGTGGCCTGCCTAGACTACTGTCCCCCGGCCTGCAGGGTGGAGATAAGACCCTTGCAGAGGTGGTGGCCGCCAAGGAGAGAGTGACTGAGCTGGCTTATCCCACATCACACCCGGAGGGGGAGGGCTGCCCATCTGAGGAAGAGGAGAATGGAGGAGCTGTGAAAAGGGCTTTCCCAGACTCGGCTAACATATCTCCAGGACCCAAGCCCAGCACCTCTGTGTACTGCCCAGGGGAAGCAGAGCATCGAGCCACGGAGGGAAGAGGAACAGAAAATAAAGCTGACTCCCCCAGCTCTCCTTCAGGCTCCCACTCCAGAGCCAGGGAGCACTGCTCTAAGCAGGAGGGAGAGGCCGACCCAGAGCCACACAGGACAGGACAGGATGAACTGTGTCAGAGTGCAGAAGCTGAGGAAGAGGAAGGAGCTAAGGCTCCATCTTCGTGTGTGTCCAGTGGTGGGAACGCCTTCCTGAAGGCCTGGGTGTATCGCCCTGGAGAGGACGCCGAGGATGATGATGACAGTGACTGGGGATCAGCTGAGGAAGAGGAAGGAGCTGAGGCTCCATCTTCGTGTGTGTCCAGTGGTGGGAACGCCTTCCTGAAGGCCTGGGTGTATCGCCCTGGAGAGGACGCCGAGGATGATGATGACAGTGACTGGGGATCAGCTGAGGAAGAGGAAGGAGCTGAGGCTCCATCTTCGTGTGTGTCCAGTGGTGGGAACGCCTTCCTGAAGGCCTGGGTATATCGCCCTGGAGAGGACGCCGAGGATGATGACAGTGACTGGGGATCAGCTCAGACCGGTGTCACTCCCCATACAAGTGCCTTTCTCAAGGCCTGGGTCTGTCGGCCCGGAGAGGACACAGACGACGACACAGAAGATGACAACCCTGAGAATGTGGTCCCAGAAGATTCAGAGGCAGCGGACCCAAAGAGTCGCGGCCATCAGGCCCGGGGTTGTCTACCTGGAGAGACGTCAGAGGGAGTTGTGGAGCCCACCCTCTTCCAGGTGGCCTTCTACTTACCTGGAGAGAAGCCAGCACCGCCCTGGGCAGCTCCTAAGCTGCCCCTTCGGCTGCAAAGGAGGCTCTCAGCGTTCAGAGCCCCCATCAGGGGTCAGGATCCTGACACCCCTCTACGGACCACAAAGGTGAGTGGGTACCAGGAGCCTGATGGGGTCTTTCCTAAGGTCGTTTACGCTCAGGGATTGTACAGTGCTAGTACTGGACTTGCAATAGGGTCCCAGGCTGGTGTGTGTGTGTGTGTGTGTGTGTGTGTGTGTGTGTGTGTGTGTGATTTGTACAAAGGGCCTAGATTCTGGGTCAGGAGGAGGGGCCCCTTGGGACCTGAGAATTCCCGAAGGTGGACACTCCAGGGACCCATGTGTTGCATGTTGCAACTTCTTACATGGGAAGGTGTGTGTTGCAATCGCCTGTAAGAGGCAGGAAGAGAGACAATTGTGTGTGGCTCATGGTGGGCATGTGTCCAGTGAGTCAGAGGGACAGTCCCCATGGCAGGCAGGTGATTTCAAATAAGTTTTCTGGTGACTGACTTTTACTTCCTGCCTCTGCCCACCTTCCAGGTGCGTTTCTCTGAGAAACCCACAGTCCATTTCCTTGCTGTCTGGGCAGGGCCAGCCCAAGCTGCCCGACGTGGCCCCTGGGAGCAGCTTGCAAGAGATAGAAGCCGCTTTGCCCGCCGGATTGCCCAGGTGGAGGAGAAGCTAGGTCCTTACCTCACCCCTGCCTTCAGATCCAGAGCTTGGGCACGCCTAGGAAACACACCCCTTTCTCCAGCTTTCACACCTGCCCCTCCACAGCTGGGGCCTTGCTCCTCCTCTTCTGAGGCCACGCCCATGAGCCAATCTGTGACCACACCCTCTCCCCTTCCCAGTGAAGCTCCTCCATCCAGCCTGGACTTCGGTGGGAGGCGGGGTTAAGCCCAATTAATTTCCTGTTATTTATTTTTAATAAGAAATAAAGCCTTTTTGACTTACAGTGATCAAATCTTACGTGTGTATTGATGGTATCCTGCTGGTGTATTGTCAAGGGAGGCTAGACATTAGGTTTTGTTTTGTTTGTTTATTGATACAGGATTTCTCTGGTTTTAGAGGCTGTTCTGGAACAAGTTCTTGTAGACCAGGCTGGTCTCAAACTCACAGATCCACCTGCCTCTGCCACCAATGCCCAGCTAGAAATAGAGTTCCTTGCTCAGACTGCTGTAAAGTGACAGAACCAACCCCAGCAGTTCGAAGCTAGTCAGGGGGATTGGCTTGAGCTCAAGGCAGACAATAATAACCTAGAGGGCGGCTGGGGCGATGGCTCAATGGTTAGGAGCACTGGCTGCTCTTCAGAGGACCCGGGTTCGATTCCCAGCACCCATATGGCAGTTCACAACTGTAACTCAAGCTCCAGGGGATCTGACACCTTCCACACCAATGTACATAACATTTTTAAAAAAGGCTTTCAAAATAAGGGAGGGTGGTAGATACAAGAGTATGACAACGTGTATGAAATTGTCAAGATGAAGCCCATTATTTTGTACACTAACTAAAAAAATTAAAAGATTTATTAAAAGGCTAGGCCAGGCACAAAAGTGCATGCTTGTCATCCCAGTACTCGGGAGGCAGAAGCAAGAGGATCGGGTGTTCAAGGCCAGCCTCAGCTACCTTTCTGGAGACCAGATTGAGTATCGAAAAACCAAGGCCTAGTGTGAAGCTTTCTCCAAAGGCACAGGACAGAGCTGCTGAGGGATGGTATTTTATTCAGTTACTCACACGCCAGTTTCCCATCGAAACTGGATAAGCAGATGGCGAAGGCTTGGAGCGGGCAAAGAGGATATCGGAAATCCATAGTGAATATGTTTGGGGCCACGCGGCCGAACTGGAGCACCAAGTGGTCCGCTGATGAGCAAAATAGAAAATAGAACTTAAACTCCTGCCTCTACACCGCCACACAGCTGCACCCTCACCAATCTGGAAAACACAAGGAGCCCTAAAGACTACATCTCCCAACAGGCCTTGCGACAGCCAGGCTCCCGCCCTGCTTAGGAAATCGCCCATGGAGCAGTACTTCAGTGGCCGCTTTCCTCCCCCAAGCCAGGTCTTCGGGTGGCTAGGAGCTCACTCACGTTCATCGGGGTGAACAATCTGGAAGTTCTTGACCGAAGCCCGAGTGACGCGACCGTGAAAATTGAGCACGTAGGCGCCGCTCTCGTCGCTCCAAGATGGGGCCTTGTTCTGCAGTAAGAGCAGCCCGTGTCTAGCACCCTTTTGTAGGCGACTCAATATAGAATCCTGATCCTTGAAAATACAATAGGAGCATCATCGTTTGTTAGCCTGCGGGCAACCTGCTTTTTAGTCCAGATGCACATATTATATTAATTAATTAATTAGAGACAGAGTCCCAGGTGTGTATGCCTGTGTGTTTAGGGACAGGGTTTCTCTGTAGCCCAGGCTGGACTGTAGCTGGCTCTGTAGAGCCGGCTGGGACTGTAGTTTTTTTTGTTTTGTTTTGTTTTTTGTTTTTTTTCTTTTTTTCGATACAGGGTTTCTCTTTGTAACGGTCCTGGCTGTCCTGGAACTCACTTTTTTTTAACTAGGCTGACCTTGAGATCTCTGCCTCCGGAGTGCTGGGATTAAATGCGTGTGCCAGCAGCTGGCTTAGTAGGTATTTTATATTTTCATTTTGTGGCTGATCCATGATGTTCACCATCTAACTTTTGTTTATGGTTATGAATGGAAACCATAAAGCATTTTATCAAGGTTGTGGTGACTTGTCTGTGATAAAATACTGACTTAGACAAACACTGCCATTAGTTACTTGATTCTCATTTGTGAAGTTTCAAGACTGCATCAGAGTGCTGGACAGACAGAAGAAAAATCTTGCATCTCTTAGCTTTGGAATTTCTTATCTCCCTTCCCGGGGTGATTTCTGCATCTCCAGAAATAAATTTTACATATGCATTTATGCAAAATTTATTCACACACTATGAACAGATTTATAACCACACACAGGCCATTATGTATAATCTATTATACATACGTTGTTAGTCATAGTTTAAGAGTAGCCAAGCTTAAACTGGGAGGCGGTAGTACACGCCTTTAATTCCAGCACTTAGGTGGCAAAGAGGTGGGCGGATCTCTGTGAGTTCCAGGCCAACCTGGTCTACAGAGTGAGTTCCCCGGCAGCCAGGAAAGTCTTGGGAAAAAAAGAAAATCATTTTTTAGTTAAATGTAATAAAAGTGTGTCTGCATTTGTGGATTGAGTGTGTGTGGGTGCAGCAGTCTTCAAAGTCCAGAAGAGGACATCAGGTTCCCAGTACCCTGGAGCCACCTCACAAGGGTACTAGGAACCAACTCCAGAAATTGTTTTTTCTTTTGAGACAGGGTTTCTCTGTGTAGATCCAACTGTTTTGGAACTGGCTCTGTGGACCAGGCTGGCTTCAAATTTACAGATCTGCTTGCCTCCCAATGCTAGGATTTAAAAAAAAAAAAAACAAAAAAAAACAAAAAAGAAACTTTTTTTTTTTTTTAAAAAAAATACAAAGTCTCACTTTGTAGTCCTGGCTGTCCTGGAACTTGATATTTAGATGAGGCTGGCCTCCAACTCGAAAAGTCTGCTTTTCCTGTCCCTCTAGGAGAGCAATGCATGCTGACCCACCCTTAAAGACTCACATTTTGTGGCTGCACCCTCATTCTTTGCTTCCGGCTGTCCATTCCTGGAAGGATCACAGTCATTCTCCGAGGCCCCCTGAATCCCAAGACATTGGTCTCCTGGGAGGATTAATTAGATTATACCCCCGTTAGCTCCTTATGCTTTCTTACTGATCGGTGCCCCCATTTACCCCTGCCCTGCCAGGATACTTACATAACATACAACTCCCAGCTCCTCTCTGATACGGGCACTGTCTGGGATCCAGTAGTTCCGCTCCGGGTTCACCCCATTATCAAAGATGGTGAATTTCGTGCCCAAGACATTGGATCTGCCCCGGGAGGGCAGTGAACAGAGTAAAATAACCACCACAATAGTGATTTTTACTCTGTGTTAAGTGCTTTCTCAAACCCATCCTCTAAGGAAAAAAAAAAATCAGAGTCCCAGCCCTCTGGTGTCATTCTAGAATCCTACGTTGACTTTGGGAACTAACTCTCTTCCATCTACCAAGTAAGAATTCACACACTCTATAGACATCTTTCCCCACAGGCACTGAGAGGTCCCAGCCCTGCCTATCAAAAAAGCTAAACATCTTAAAATGCCAGCCTGTATCCAAAGCTTTCATGTTTTTTTCTTTCCCAGATGTGGAAGTACAACCTGAAGAACTACAAAAACCATCAGGCTTTAGTGCAGGTCTTGTGCTGTGCACTGCAGCCTATTGAGAAATGCAGTTCATTTGCCTGTGTTTCTCAGGGCTTCCTAGGAACGCCACATAACAATAATGCTTTGCCTACCTAACTTTGCCTACGAAGTTGTTCCCGTTGCGAGACATGTCTTTGGGATCCAGGGAGATGAGATAATTTGAGGTTTTGCTTCTTTTCCTTTTCCGCCCAGCCAGAAGGAAATGCTGCAAACCAGAGAAGATATGCCAGGATTGATTTCTGACACCTGTCTGAAGCCTGAACCCTGACACAGCTCTGGATACTGGAAAGACTATTTCTGGAGGAGATGGAGGCCACACTGGGAGGAGACTGGGCTTATGGAGGGGAATGTGGCTATAGAATTATAGATGGAAACACTTTGAGGGACCTCCCTAGTTTATGCTAGGATTGGGTGGGGTTTGACCACTAAGAAGACTCAGTTGGGAGGCCAAAAAGGGGGCTGGCTTATCTCAAGGCAGAGGGAGGTGTGGTAGGCGTGAACTCATTCTGGAATGAGGAAGGCTTGGCTATAGGCTAGAGAGGACTTAAGCTACTACCTTCTAAAAACTTTGAAGTTCTGAGGTGGACAGGGCTGAGAGCCGACAAGTCCTAACTATGTGACACCAGCCTGGGTCCAGAAAAGAAGTGTTTTTTGAGACAGGGTTTCCTTGTGTAGCCCCAGCTGTCCTGGAACTCACTCTGTAGACCAGGCTGGCCTCACAGAGATCTGCCTGCCTTTGCCTCCCAAGATGAAAGGAATGCACCACCACCACCCAGCCAGGAAAAAAAAAAAAAAAAAAATGTTGGAAGGGTCTCATGTTGTGGCCCTGGCTGTCCTGGAACTCATTATTTAGGACAGAGCTGCCTCCCTCTTCTTACCAAGTGTGGCGCCCACACCACCGCTTGAACTCAAGGCTGACCTTGCTGACTTTGCTCTCCCGATCCTGCCTGCCACCTCCCACTACATCTCACTCCAGAAATACTTAACCGTGTCCGAAAAGGGGAGAGACACGCTCCTCAAAGTGGGGGCTTGTCTCCCTTATCTGCCCCCTTCCTGTGTGCAGCCTCCCCACCAGCACGGGACTAGCGCGTACTGCCACTCCGTCCTCGGCCTCCAGGTAGAGGTAGTAGGAGGGGAACATGCCCTTGTCCATGCCGTGTTTGTTCCGGACGATGCGGCACTGCACCATGTGGTCTCGGGGTGCAGGGAGGAGCACATACGCGCCCATGTCCTCCCCGAGCCGAGGGCCTGGGGGGCGGGGCAGGGGGCCGGTCACGCTCCAACTATGGTCGCTTGTATCGCCATTGCCTTGCAAGGCTTCGGCTGCCACTGGGGCGTGGTCTGTCCCTGTGGACTCTGAGGCCTCTTTCTTCTCCAGATCTTCATCCTAGCTCAAGTGCAAATCAAAAGTTGACGGGCAGTCAGGCGTGGCCATGCAGACTGATTGGCTACTCTAGCTAAGGAATGACCCTTCAAGACCCATGGCGTCTCGTGAGTCAAGCGTGTCCACCCAACCAAGTTGGCACATCTGACGCAACCTCATCAGCTCCACAAACTGTGTGAGAGCATTACTCCGGAACATATAAACCCAGAGTGAGTGCCTGCCAAAACATGTCAGTGAAGTTGCTGGGGACATAACTGAGTAGTAGCCCCTGCCTAGAGTCCCTCAGTGAGGGACTTAGTGTGACCGACTCAGTGGTAAGGGCCCTTGCCTACCAAGCACGTGGTCATGTTGACTCTAAAATGACGCTCCCAAATCATGCTTTGTAGTCTCTATAAGTTGGCACCTGTCCATGGAATGTGGTTTTTTTTGGGGGGTGGGGGTTGGAGAGTCTCCTTATGTAGCCCAGACTGGCCTTGAACTCTGTCCCTGTCAACACCCTGACTGCAGGGGATGCAAGCGTGCACCACCATGCACAGACTGTCATCTTGGTTGTTGCTACTACATCCAATCAAAACACCCTGTAGACTGAGCTGCAGATTTTTAGAACCATCCTACCCCGATGTCAGAGGCTGGTGCTCTCGTTTCTACATTATTTTTCACTGTACTCTCTTCCACCTTGCAGGATGCCAAGTCTCCATAAATCCTATCAGGGTTCACTGCAGGGGCCGGACTGGGTGCCTTTTGTTCAACTGCTTCATCCTTGGATTCAACCTCTTCCTCTTCACTGATCCCTAAAGGGCAGACGCAGTTACAGGTCAGGACATCTGGGTCCTGCTTAGGGGAGGGTCATCTTTATCATCTCCATAAGAACCTTTCCCGCCTCCCACTAGCCACTCTGTGTGCTTCATTGCACGTGGGATGTGCGAGGACTAAACAACCTCCCGATCTTCTCGAGGATGCACAGGAAGAGTCTAGAGTCGGAGTCTCACTGAGTGGCTCTGGCTAGCCTGGAACTAGACTTCTAGACTGGGCTTGCTTTGAACAGAGATCGACCTGCCTTTGCTTCCAGTGTTAGAATTAAAGGCATATGTCACAATTCCTGGCCAAAAGTAAACAAATAACTTTAAAAACAAGCAAGTAAATTGGACTGGAGAGCCAGAGTAACAGTCAAGGGTACATTCTGCTCTTGTAGAGAACCTGAGTTTAGTTCCCAGCACTCAGTCTGATAGCTCACAATTGCATTTGACTCCAGCTCCAATGGGTCTGACTTCCTCTTCCAGCCTCTGTGGGAACTGCACTCACATTCACAAACACACACAAATGCACATACAGAACTAAAAAGTATTAAAATAATCTGAGCCAGGTGTGGTGGCACACACCTTTAATCCCAGCGCTTGGGAGGCAGAAGCAGGTGGATCTCTGAGTTCAAGGCTAGCCTGGTCTACAGAGTAAGTTCCAGAACAGCCAGGGCAACACAGTGAAACCCTATTTTGGAAAACCAAAATGAGAATAATAATTAATGAATAATAAATAATCTGGGTGTGGTGCAATACACCTTTAATCCTAGCAAACAAGGAGGCAGAGGCCAGTGGATCTCTACAAGTTCAAGGCCAGCCAGGGACACCTAAAGATTGACCCCATCCCTCCCAATATTAGTTAGGATAAATACATTTGCTGTGGTGATGGTTTTACACCTCAATACACTATAACAGGGACTAGACCTCCTGACAGATGAATGGGGAGTTATGATATCGCATACAAAGCTGTTAACCAAAATCTATCATACGAACCAGAGGCCAGATTTCACTCCCCTGTCCCTGAAATTACCGGGTCCTGGGGAGGCTAACCAGCCCCGGCGACGGTTTGCCAGATGTGTCTTGGGAGGTCGGGGGATGACAGGGATATCCTCCATGGTCACCTCCTCCACATCTGAATCTGAGCTGTCTGGGAGCCAGCATAGATGTCGGACAGCAGGGCCATTGCCCCGAGTATACACTAGAGAAAAGACGTTTCAGATTTAGGTGGCTCAGGACCTGACCCCAGTGTCTGGAGGAGAAGGGTGGGACGCGGAACTTGTAAGGGTACCTGTCCCTCTGGGTGACAGGAGAGGCGCCCGCTCGCCACTGCCATCTCCAACACAGCTCATGGTGACCAAGGCACCGTGGGCCCCCGAGGGCAGATGAGCCTGTGGTACGGTCTCCTGGAGGAAAGGGCTCCCACCACCTGGGAGAAGAGCAGAGGGGCCTGTTCTTAAAAGCTCTACCCAATGAGGCAGAAAACCCTGCACCTCATAGCTCCCCAAAATCCCAAACAAAAACTAGGTAGTAAGGCCTGGGCTGGGTGCGCGTCTCCCTAGGTTTCCACGCTTATTACCACAGAAAAAGCAACGTCAACTCCCGCACTAGCAGAAGAGTGGTAACTTCTGTCTTTGGGCTGTCCGGGTCCCTTCAGGCTCTACCAGGTTCTGACAAACCCAGGCACTGGATTCTTTTGGGTCTGGCCCTCCAGTTGCTCTAAACCCTGCCTGGGAACCGTCACAGGACCGGGTAATCAATCTCAAGGGCCCAGCTTTATTGGAATGGCTCCTAAGAACTCCACAGCCCAATCGATCCTCTGCCCAAGGATCCCCTTGGCCCCACCCCCGTTCCCTCATAAAGCCCCACACTCAAGTCCCACCCCTATCCCCTACCATAAACTCCCCGCTCTGAAGCAATTAGGCTCCGCCAGTCCAATTAAGACACTTCCTGGCCTCTATAGGTCAGTCTCTCCATCCACCAAGTTCCTGCCCTGGGCCCCACCCTCCAGTGTTTACTAGGTTGCCCCGCACCCCAGCACCCATAAATCCCTTCAGTCAGACCGAGTCCCCAGCCGCTGTCACTCTGGAAGCGATCGTCCCCACGCCTTGGTCGCCGGTGCCTCAGGGAAGCGTCAGGATTGGCCTGAACCATGAGGGGCTCCTGGCGCTTCCTGCGCTGCTTCTTCTCAAATAGCTGTCGCTGCACAATCAAAAGGGAGTGTGTGGTGGGCATGGAAACCAGACGGCGTGCAGGGGCGTACCCTTCCGCGTTGGGGTCCCAGATTCCCCAGATGGGATCTACTTCCACCTCCTCCTCCAAGACCTAGGAGTCCAGCCTTCTAGAATTTTTGTTCCTTAAACATTTCCTCAGCCCGGGCTGCCCTCTGGGCAGAGGCGCGAGGATCGCGATTTCCAAGCCTTCCTAGACAATTTGGTGAGGCCGTTTCAAAATACAGAGGCGGTGTAAAGGCTCACGCCTGCAGTAAGTCCAGAAATATCAGTCAGAGGATGGGAGCAAATTCCAGGTCAGCACAGGCTACAGAGCGACTGATTAGGACCTGAGAGGTGGCTTTGAGAAAGCTGCTTGCCATTCCATCAACCCTGATAACCCGAGTTCAAGCCCTAGGATCTACACTGTCAACGGCGAGAGCCCACTCCTGCAAATTTGTCTCAGCATACATGTGATGTCGTGGCGTGCGCGTCCTCTGCCCCCAAATAAGTGTAATTCAAAAACAAAAACGGAGCACAGTGGCTCACAATTGTAATTCCAGCACCCAAGATGCATGCTTGAGGCCAGCCTGGGCTAGGCAACAAGGTCCTATCTCAAAATGAAGCTGAATTCCTACTTTCTCTTTTCCTAACTCCAGAACCTGAAGTTCAGAGAAATCGAACATAGGATTGGGGTCTCTGAGCAACCTTCTGGGAGGGTTGGGGAGATGAAGGAGTGGGATTCCCTGCCATACCTGTTGTTCCAGCTTCTGCAGCCTCACACCGGAGAATTCATCCTCCAAGGCCCTGAGAGAAACACAGGCTGTTGACCAAAGCCAGCAGGGCAGCCCCTCCCCTTGACTAACTTGGTGCTGAGCGCCAGTGATGTCATAGTAAGTGCAGGACCTGAGATTTCTAGATCAGTTATGACGCTCTTTCTCCAAGCCCCTCCCCTTTTAGGACCCAAGCAGAGAGACCCCAGGCTCGCTATCTCGGGAGACTCAGGGGTCCGGGTCCCAAGCCCCTTCCTCTCGGAGACCTAAGCATCTTCACTGGGGCCCCTTTCAAGGGACGCGGGAGTCCAGGTCCCCAGCGCCTTCCTACAGAGTTGATGGCGGTGAGCCTGAGGACAAAGTTTGAGTCCAAAGCTGTGCGTATCTCTGCGGTGCGCATCTAGGCTGTCCCTCCCCCAACCCTGCTGCCCATTAGGGTCCCTACTCACTCTTTCTTCCACGGTTCATTTTCCTGAGACATTCTAGAGGATTAGGAAGGCATAGTCAAGATCTACATCCCACGTCTTGACAGAGACCGCCCTCCAGTCCCTGATATCTGCCTTCATTTTTCTTTCGAACCCTAGCAACCCAAATCCCAATTCCCGCCTGAACTTAGTAGCCTGTGTCCAGCTTTAAGCAGTGTAGGGAGCACAGAAATCCAGTTCTCTACCAAGAACTAAGGCTTGTCCTGCTTCTATTCTAAGTATTGGGACTCGAGGCTTAGAGTCACAGATCCCAAGCCTTCAGCATCCACCTGTCTGGAATCCCAGAGGTGCCCACCCATCCCTAGTGCCAGCTTGGATCTCAGGGCTTTGCCGCGATGCGGGAACTCTAAACCTAGCCGGACACTCGGCAGAAGGGATTCCCACAGAGACTTGCCCTCTTCTTGGCCCTCTTGGCCCCTCACGGTCCATGTCCAACAGAGTAATGCCTCCAGGCCACTCAAGCAGACAGATCTCTTGTTCTGGGGGTTCTGAATTGGAACCACCAAGTCAACGTTCCTTAAAGGGACCAAGAGTATCCATCTAGAAATATAGAGCATTGGAGAAATTTATAAAATCAAGGTTTAAGGCTTATGCCTGTAATTCTAGGACATGGGAGGTTGAGACAAGAGTGCCAGGAAAATCAGTTCGGCGGGGTGGCACATGCCTTAATCCCAGCCCTTGAGAGGCAGAGACAGGCAGATCTCTATGAGTTCAAGGCCAGCCCGACAGCCAGACCTGTTACACAGAGAAACCCTATCTTGAAAAAACAAAACAAAACAGAGTGCCGAGAAAAAGTATTCCTCCTCTACACACATTCTTATTTTGGGATGCATTAAAAAAAAAAAGAGGGGTTCGTATTTTAAACTCAGCACTTGGGAGTCAGAAGCAGGACCTCGAGGTCAGCCTGGTCTATACAGAGTTCTGGCCTGTCTAAAATATAATGACAATATGCTATACAGTTGCCTACCACTAAGGTTCTAACTTGCAGGAACTTGCGGAGCAAAAATAAATGAGAAAACTACAATTCCCAGGACACAAAGCGGCAAGATGTCCGCAATAGCTGCCCCACCCCTCACCCCTGCATGCAGTGCTTTGACTTTTATTTGAAAACGACGCAGGATATGTCACGTTGAAGAATGTGAGTTTCCGAGAAAGCAGGAGAGATTTTCGAAAGTAAGGGAACCTCATCGGAAAGGGGCGGGGCCGCTAACGCGGGCGGAAGCTCTGAGCTAGCGTGGACCAATCAGTACTCTGGGGGCGGGTGGAAAAGTGGGAGTGACTTAGGAGGGAAATCACCAGAAGCCGGAGGTCCCAGCGTGGGAAAACGCCCTCTGCTAGGAGAGGTGAGGGGCTTAGGTAGGGGAGAGCCGAGGGCTGGAGCTCCGGGTACTTGCAAGGATTTCAGGTCTCGGTGGTCCCTTGAGAAGGAGAGGCTAGGGGCCTGGGATCTCAATCCAGGGCAGAATTCCCCACCTTGAGGAAGCCGGGATGACGATCTACGGGGTTGCTCTGTAGGAAAGGGAGGCTGGAGGCCTGGCATCCTGGGATCCAGGCAGGTGACCAACACTTGCAGTCTTCATTTTTGCAAAAGGAGATGGCACTGCGGATGGCGTACACAGTCGTCTGCCCAGCCGGATAGGGGGTTGGCACATCCTTAGCCCGGGGAATTGCGACTCTAAGTCGTTTGGGAGGGAGAGGCAAGGGGATCAGGAATTCAAAGCCAACCTGGGCTACTTAACGCTTGTCTCAAAAAACCATTCTCCAGCTCTGCTCACGGACCAGCCACGATGCCTACCTCTGTGCCCCGCGGGGCCTCTTTCCTTCTACCGCCTCTACTGATGCTGTCAGTTGTGCTGGGGGTGCCTCTGGACCGCGCGGCACCCCATCAGGAGGACAGCCAGGCCACTGAGAGTCCGGTGAGTAGCCCTGCCCCATGCCCCAGTGTGTTTGCAGTAGTGCAGGCTTGCCATCCCCAAGGCCCTGGTGAAAAACTCCAGGGATCCCCTTTTAACACTGAGGCTTGTGGTTCACCTGCCTGCCTTTGCAGAAGTGTGGGTGAAACAAAGAAGCAGACCTGCCCACCCTGTCTTTGAGATATGGAAATCAAGGTAGACCCCAAATGAAAACCCAAGTCACTGCCTTACCTAAACCCCTCTGAGCTTAAAACCCTGCTTAACCGGCAATGTAGGAAACCAAAAGAAAAACTACATTTCCCAGTAGCACCATAGGCAGTTGGATGATACTACCTAGCTGGGGCATTCCTGCTTCACAGAGCTCATGGGAGGTGTAGTTTAAATGGGAAAAGGACATGGAAACTGCTGATTTACTCATTTCAACAAATGTGTATCCAACCCTGTGAAACCTTTGTTCTCTGGAGAGTTGGAACTTTCGAAGTCCAGGTACCTGGTTTATGGTCTAGTTCTTCCTGTCACTTTGCCTAGCAATGTAAGCTGTTGCACCTCCTGAGACAGGCGGTTCCAAGCTCCTGTGTAGTAGCATGACCTCCTGTAAGGTGTTAGTTAGTACACTCTGTGAAATCTTGAATACCATTGTGTTATAGCTTCAGAGAAAAATAATAGGACTAATAAGACAGTGTTGGCAGGTTCCAGGAAGAGGGGGTTGATGGGAGAGAAAGGCAAAGCCAGGCTTTTTGAGATTGAGCATTGTAGGTCTTAAGCAGCTGCATATACCTGAGGACTTCTGAGAAGTTCAGAATGTTCTGGGTCAAGCAAGAAGTTTTGCTGATACCCAGAGAAGGGAGGGAAGGAAATGTTATGCTTTTGAATGAGAATTCTGAAAAGTGGCAGGTTCAGGAGTGAAGATCAGCTTCTGGCCTGGAAATACCTTACCTCATTAGGGAAATGGCCTCGGCTCCTCCTATCCCTTAGCATGCCTTGAGGTGAATCAGCCGCCTTGAGCAGTGGGTGCTTAGTCACGGGATGTTGGATGGACTCTCCCCCCCCCCTGCAAGACAGGGTTTCTCTATGTAGCTCTGGTTGGCCTGGAAAACTCTCTGTAGACCAGGCTGGCCTAGAACTCAGAGATCCACCTGCCTCTGCATCCTGAGTGATGGGATTAAAGGTATCCCCACCACAGCAGGGCTTGGATGGACTTGTGGGGAGGGGCAATAGTAGTATACAATGTTTTGGGCTGTTTAGAACGAATCCATCCATATTCTGTATTTTTGACAGGAGGCAGTAGCTTCCCTTTAATGGACCTCACGAAGCCCAGCTATCTATCCTATCCCCCCCATCATATCCCTTTCATATGCTACTCTAAATCTAAGGACGTATGACCTGATTAGGAAGGGGGGGTTATCTTCAGTGACCCCTAAACCTGCCTGTGCTGTCTAACATCCCACATTTGAGAGCGTAAGACCATTTAGATTTCAGTGTTTATGCTTAGGTCGGTGTTGAGTAAATCTGACTACTTACAGTTGAAGCGGGTCCATCCACGGTGACTTCCAGGCCTTGGAATAAGATCAAAGGAACCAGTTAGATGTGTTAGATTGTCACAGAGTCATCTGAAGGTAACCCAACTGTAAAGGACGGGAGACAAAGTTAAGATAGCAGCTCAAAGCCAGACCATGGTGGCACACACCTGCTTGGTTTCTTTTTTAAAAACGTGTTGATCCTCAGGGGCTGGAGAGTTGGCTCCGTGGTTCAGAGTGCTTGTCCCTGTGAAGAACTGGGTTCGATTCCCCGCCCCCCCATGGAGGCTCGCCACTTCCACTTCCCTAGCCACCAGGCCTGCATGTGTTATACAGACATGTGCACAAAACACCCGCATGAATAAAATAAATCTAGAAAGCAAGCTTGGCCCTCAGGAACCAAGGCAACGTGTGTGCCCTGACTGCAATGACCAGGGTGACTGCTGACCCTCAGGCTTCTGATCGTTAATCCTGTTGATCCTACTGACTCAATTCCAGGGTGTGTTCTCTCTAACTGGGAAAATTTGATCTTCAATTCTTTTTTTGTTTGTTTTTTGGATTTTTGAGACAGGGTTTCTCTGTGTAACAGCCCTGGCTGTCCTGGAACTCGCTCTGTAGACCAGGCTGGCCTTGAACTCAGAGATCCGACTGCCTCTGCAATGCTAGGATTAAAGGTGTGTGCCACCCTGCCTATTTCTTTTTAATGACACTGTCCTTTTTCTTTTCTCTTCCAAGCCTACATATATTTTTAAACGTACTGTAAACCGTTTAGAGGTTTTGTTTCTCTGAATCTGTCTTTACTGTCTATCTCTAACTTTTTATGACCACATGAGTCTTTAATCTGCTAAGTAGCATGGCTAGGATTAAAGCAGCTGCTGGCTCTGACCAGTTAGGCTTTCCAACTTGGTGGGATTATGTTTACCGACTCTGTCTATGCTGGCATTTTTTTTTTTTTTTTTTTTTTTTTTTTTTTGAGACAGGGTTTCTCTGTATTGTTTTGGAGCCTGTCCTGGAACTAGCTGGCCTCGAACTCACAGAGATCTGCCTGCCTCTGCCTCCCAAGTGCTAGGACTAAAGGCGTGCGCCACCAACACCCAGCCATGCCGGCATTTTTAAAAGTAGGTTCTGGCTCTAACTCAGATGCTCGTGTGAGAAGCGTTGTGCCCCTTAATCATCTCTGCAGCTTCCCCATGTTTCATTTCTTGAGTGCCATGCCATAGAACCTTCTAGGAGGTGGATACTGGCAGAAGGCTGGGTTGGAACTGGACTGACTGGCTCTGGCTGGCTCTGGAGTAGCCACCTTGTAAAGCAGGCCTCCTGTTGTGTGAGGAGGATACGAGGCTACTCAGCGGCAGCTTAGGAGCTGAGCTGTGGTCCTGGCTGAGGGAAGGAAACAGAAGGTAAGGCAGATGTTGCTATGTTTGCCCTTGTTCCCCAGGACACAGGCCTATACTACCATCGATACCTCCAGGAGGTCATCAATGTACTAGAGACCGATGGGCACTTCCGTGAGAAGCTGCAAGCTGCCAATGCTGAGGACATCAAGGTGCGCCAGGCATGGGTTAGCGGGAGGGTGTGCTCTAGGGAGTTTCTCAGCCACCGCTGGGAAGGTGTCTGGGGACCCAAAAGGTACATTTAAACATGACATGAGTTCTCAGCTCCTACCACTGGACAGCTGTGCCTCGGTTTCCCATCTGTTATGAGGTAGCCTTGGCTCTCCTTGAGTTCTTACCTGCCTCATCTGATTGGCTCTGGCTTAAGCTTTTTTTTTTTTTTTTTTCCTCGCATGGCTGTGACAAAATACTTGCCAAAAGCAATTTGAGGAGGAATTTACCCTTGTGCGCAGTTCACAGGCACGGTGCATCGTAGAAGTGGCGTTAGGAGTGTGAGGCAGCCTCTATCTTGTATCCACAGTCAAAGAGAAGAATGCATGTTGCTTTATGCTCAGCTCTGGAGCCCAGCTCATGGGATAATGCCACCACCCCTTTAATGAAGCCCGTTTAGAAACTCCCTCGTAGACATGCTCAAACGGCTGTCCTCTGGATAATTCTCGGTTTTGTCACGTTGACAGACAGTCTTGAGCATCCCAGGTAACAGATCTGGTGCCTCCAGGTGTCTGCGGGCAGCTCCGTGGGACTGAGGGGCAGGCAGGGATGCAGGGACACTGGGCCCTGGAGTGCTGTGAGCAGGAGAGGCCAGGGTCAGCTCTGACGGAGGAGTATAGAGTCGAGATACCAGTCTTGTCAGTCCCAGAGAGCGCAAAAGGCCGCAGCCCTGCGTGTGGGGTGAAGGTGATGCCTGGGGATGCTTCCCTGCTGAGTACTGAAAGACAGAACTGACTGGAGAGAAGTGGCAGTTAAGTCGGTGGCCACGTGTGGAAAGGTCCTATGGTGAGAACCGACTGGGAAACCTTCTTTCCTGTCCTTGAAGAGTGGAAAGCTGAGCCGAGAGCTAGACTTCGTCAGCCACCATGTCCGCACCAAGCTAGACGAGCTCAAGCGACAGGAGGTATCAAGGCTGCGGATGCTGCTCAAAGCCAAAATGGATGCAAAGCAGGAGCCCAGTGAGTATGGGTGATGGCCGGTGTCTGGGCAGCTTTGTACTGGGCGGGTGGTGCTGTGGCCTCTTGGGAAAGCAATTACTCGGGATTTCTTTCTTTTCTTCCTGGCACATTTTCACCTGACAGTCTGCTTTGTTCCCCCTTTTGTTTATTTCTAGAAGGTTTGTGGCAAGTCTGTCTTTCTGAGTCAAGGTCTCATACAGCTAGGCTGGCCTGAGACTTACTGTGTAGCCAAGGATGACCTTGAGCTCCTGATCCTTGAGCGCTAGCATGGGCCGCCACATGTTACTACTTTCTCTTTTAAATATCTTTATTGGACTGTAATAAGGACCTGTGAGATGGGTAAAGGTGCTCGCCCCCAAGCTTGATGACCTGAGTTCGATCCCTGGAACTGCATATGCTGGGGAGGAGACAACCCACTCCATAAAGTTGACCTGACCTTCACATGAACTGTGACATGTACACCCACACGCACACACACACATGCATACGCACACACATGAGCACACGTGCAAAGCACACGTGAGCACGCACAGACACACGCGCGCTCGCGCATAAAATCAATCGGGTACTATAGTCTAGGAAGGTACTCCACTGCAGCAGTCTACTTAACCAACCCTGTGCCCCGGACCAGCCCGGGACATACCCTCCACCTGTCTCACCAGGCCTGCCTACATGGGGCATGTTCTTTGTTTTGTTTTGCTGGGACTAAAGTCATGCGCCAGCACCGCCCCTCAGCATGGTTCTTTGGGGATGACAGCAGTATCCTAAAAAGTCATGGTGGTGGTGCTTGTGTGTACCTGTGAATGTACTAAAACCCACCAAACTGCATGTTTTAAATGAGTGGTTTAGGGCTTGGCAAGATGGCTCAGCCAGTAAGGCGCTCACTGCCAAGCCTTGGTAGCACGATGAGTGACATACAACCTGAATGACACACATGTACACTCACCACCGCTATCAGGGCTGGCCATGGCCCACGTTACTAGGTTACAGTGGTGAGGCAGGGACTTGTATTAAGGTGCCATTAAGAGCAAGGCCTGGCATGGATGGCTGCCACTGAGGTTACCGTTATGTGGTGCATCGGAGTCGGTGGAGGGCTCCCTCCCCTCCTCCATCACACCCTCAGGCACTGCCCCAGGCTTGCACGAGTCCTCCTCACCTGCTAGGCCTGCTGTGACTTCCCTCTGTGCACTGCCCTGAGTCAGGGTGTTGTTTTGATTGCTTTCCCCGTATCCAGCCCTGCAGGTGGACCACCTGAACCTCCTGAAGCAGTTTGAGCACCTGGACCCTCAGAACCAGCACACATTCGAGGCTCGGGACCTAGAGCTGCTGATCCAGACGGTACTGTGAGGAGGAGGGAGCCAGCTGAGCTGAGCTGAGGGTCCTGCAGGGTGTGGGTCTGAATGGGCTCTCGGTGCCCTCCTGCTTTTCCATGGGAAGCAGGTGACTCGGGCTGTGTGAGCGGGCCTGTTCTCGCATTGTCGTGTGCTCTGCGGCAGCCCTCGGTTCATCCATTACGTACCTAAGACTTCCTCCTGATGGAGCAAGCAAAACTTGTCTGGCATTGACAGTTGTCCCTTGGTGCATAGCCACCTGGGTAGTGCAGCTGTTCCCATAACAACTATTAGTACCTTGTTGCTGCAGTGGTAACTAATTACAAACTTAGTAGCTTCGGAGAGCATGAATTAATTGTCTCATGAGGTTTGTTTTAGCTCACACCTTTATTCCCAGCACTTGGGAGGCAGAGGCAGGCTGATCTCTGTGGGTTCAAGGCCAGCCTGTTCCACAGAGCAAGTTCCAAGAAGACATCCAGGGTTACACAAGGAAGCCCTGTCTTGAAAAACTAACAGAAAAACAAGATTTGTTTTGAGCCAGTATCTTAATAGGTAGCCCAGGCTGGCTTAGAATTTGCTCTCCTCCTGCCTCAGCCTTCCAAGCACTTTGATTGCAGGCTGGCTCCTTCCTGACATTTCTTGGCTACCCAAGCTATGCTGCTTTCCCTCTTAAGCCCCTCACGTGCCGTCCCCTGCTCATTACTGAAGCGCTGAGCTGGTGGAGGACTTGGAATATTCACATCCAGTTGCTACAGTAGAACCGTCATCACTTTGGGAAAGCAGCCGAGGGTTTGCTGTGGGTCATGCCGGTGTCAGGAAGACAGGAGGAGCGAGACCCTCTTGCCTCTCCACAGGCCACCCGAGACCTGGCCCAGTATGACGCCGCACATCACGAAGAGTTCAAGCGCTATGAGATGCTCAAGGAACACGAGAGAAGGCGTTATCTGGAGTCTCTGGGAGAGGAGCAGCGGAAGGAGGCCGAGAGGAAGCTACAAGAGCAACAACGCAGACACCGGGAACACCCCAAAGTCAATGTCCCTGTAAGGACCCGTGTGTGCTTTACCATGTCCTTCTTCTAAGCAGGGGGAAAAAATGCAGGTATAAAACTACAACTCCCAAGAGGCCTTGAAGCAAAAGTCCATCTAACTCTATGAAAATACTCCAAAGGTGGCTGGGAGTTGTAGTTCTGGCCTAAGGAGACTAAAGTTTATTGGACAGGCACATAGGACTGTCTGACCTGTTGATACAGATTCATTGTTTACATTTACAAGCTCCTGCTATTATTCTCCACAGGGCAGCCAAGCCCAGTTGAAGGAGGTGTGGGAGGAGCTGGATGGGTTGGACCCCAACAGGTTCAACCCCAAGACCTTCTTCATACTGCATGGTAAGATGGGGAGGGTGTTCCAGAGCCAGGCTGCCGTCAGAGGCCCTGATGGTCCTGGGGCATGAATGGCACGGGGAGTCTACCCCTTCCAGTAGGGCTTTGTGAGCCCTACCAGACGACCTCCTCATCCTGACTGGCCAAAGGCCCTCATACTCCCTGTTGTTAAGCCTGGGATCTTCCATGGAAGGGCCAAGCCTTTTCCCTCAATATCATTTTCCTCTGTATTCTAAGGAATGGCCATGTTCTCCAACTGAGCAGACCAGACTTAAGGAGTACATAAAGAACTACAACTCCCAAGAGTCTCAGGGACAAAAAAGTGCTTATGGGAGGTAGAGGGCCTGGAGAGAAGGCTCAGCAGTTAAGAGCACTGGCTGCTCTCCCAGAGGCCCCCAGCGCTCATGTGCTGCTCACAGCCCTCTCTAGTAACTGTTCCAGGGGATCCAGTGCCATCTTGGCCTCTGAGGACACTATACACATACATGGTACACATACATACATGCAGGCAAAACACCCATACACATCAAGTTGTTTTTGTCTCCTTCCCAACAGGGAATTGAAGTTTTCAGGCTTGAGAGAGTGAAATTTATGGCTTCTACAGTAGCCCAGAAGCCTGGGTCTCCCAAGAGTGCTGTGTAAGGCTGGCAACCTGAGTTTGATTTGTAGAACATGATGGAAGGAAAGAACCAACTCCCACATGTTGACCTCTGACCTCCATGCTTCTGTTGTGTCACAGGTGCACCCACACTCGAGCACACACGTGCACTCAGTTTTTAAAAACATAAATTTTTTCTTAAGACAGGCTCTTGCTGGGTGGTGGTGGTGTGTGCCTTTAATCCCAGCACTTGAGAAGTAGAGACAAATGCCGGGCGGTGGTGGCACACGCCTTTAGTCTCATCGCTTGGGAGGCAGAGGCAGGCAGATCTACAAGAGAAGTAGAGACAGGCAGAAGATCTCTGAGTTCAAGGCCAGCTTGGTCTACAGAGTTTCAGGACAGCCAAAGCTATGCAGACCTTATCTGCAAAGGAAAAGAAAAAGGAAAAAAAAAAAAAAAAATCAGGGTCTGGCTATCCTGGAACTCTCTCTGTAGGCCAGGCTGGCCTTGAACTCATAGAAATCTGCCTGCCTCTGCCTCCCAAGTACAGGGATTAAAGGGGTGCACCACTGTACACAGTGTGTACTTTTTTAAATTTAGGGAATAGGGAAATGGTTCAATTGGTAAATTGTTAGTCTTAAACGTATAAGAAACTAAATTCAGGTCCCCAGAACCCACAAGTCAGGTGAGACAGTGTCTACCTATAACTCAGTTAGGTGAAGTAGAAGGCAGAGGTAGGCAGGGCCTTCCAAGCTCATAGGCCAGCTAGCCTGCCCAACTTGCAGTTTCAGGCCAACGAGAGGCCCCTCTGAAAGAAAATGAGGACAGACGTGCTGGTTTTTGCCCTCCATAGCTGTGCACGCTTGCATCCACGCCCCACGACTGCACACAAAGCACCTGGAACACACCCACACCAGCCCCCAGGTGTCCGATGCCCCTGGCCCTGAAGGCACCAGCACTCATACCCACGTGCCCACATGCCTACACATGCACACAAGGAAGACAAAGGTATGTTACGCCAAGCACGGGAGTGAGCCAGAGAGCTGGGACGTCTAAGGCTCAGGTGCCCATAGTGATTTTAAGTATGAATTTCTGTAGCAAGTGGTAGATTTGGCTGGATTTGTTGCCAGAAATGGAACCTCATAATGCAGGGCAAACACTCACACACTGACCTTTGACTCCAGCTCTGGGTATAGTATTCTGCTGCACAAATAATTCCTAGATACTTTTTAATAGTGCAAAACTGGAACTTTGAGCCAAGAACAGTGGATTCAGCACACCTGGCACCTGAGCAGGCTGTAGATCTGGGGGAGGCTCCGGAGTTCATGGTCACCCTCACCCAGGGGTCATGTTGGGGGCCGATCTGAGCGGTGGGAGACCTAATCTTAAAAAAAAAAAAAAAAAAAAAGACCTGTGCAGTGGCAGGCGGATCTCTGAGTTCAAGGCTAGCCTGGTCTATAGAGTGCCAGAGCTACACAGACCATGTCTCAAAAAAATAAATAAACCTGACCTCTGTGCCCCCAGGCAGCTCCTAGTTCACCCCGGGTGTCAGTGTCCCATTGTGTTTCCCGGCTCCGTGATGCTGGCTCCAGGCCCCTGAGTAAACACTGTGCAAGGGAACTCGGTGTCTTTGCGACTTTAGACACATGACCAGTGGCTGCCGAGTTAGGAGCCAGGTCCACAAAGGACATGCCAACTCGTGAAAAGAGAGGGTGAGGGTAGTGACAGCTGGGACGGAGTGCTTGGCTTTCCCGCGCAAGGCCTTGGCTCCATCTTCAGTGCTGTTACAAGAGCAAGGGTTTCCAAAATGATGGCTCTATCCCTGCTGCCCCACGGGAAGAGCCTTCTCGGCGAGTGGAACTCATGCTCACAGAGAATGGGATCCAGGGCCTGTCCACACTGCACAGGGAAGGATTAGGGCAGAGACGTGACTGGGTGTCACTGCTGGCCTTCAGTGAAGGATGAACAGAATCTGTCTGGACTTCTGGACAGCCAGGCAAGGGCCAAACCCAGAAGCCTTGTGAATGGCAGGAAATGCCGCTGCCTGGTGCGTAGGAGACATAAGTGGATCTAAGTCAGGCGTCGCCTTGAGGGGCTGGCGGGCAAGGCCGGCAGCCCATGATGCATGGGCCTCCCTGACCACTGGAGTTGGCCTGGTTCTCAGAGACAGAGGTCACAGAGCACCTGGACTCCATTCTCAGGCCCCTGTTTGCTACACAATTGTTCTTTTTTTGTTTTTGAGACAGGGTCTGTCTGTGTAGTCCTAGTTGCCCTGGAACTCAGAAAACCAAGCTAGCCTCAAACTCAAGAGATCTGTCTTTGCTTCAGGGATGCTGAGATTACAGGCATGTGCTATTACGCCCAGCCAGAACAGGTTCTTATAACAGCAGGCCCTGCGGGACACGGAAGCCCGCTGGCCATGGCCACCATTCTGCTTGCTCTCTGCTATGAGACCTCACATCCACCCGCAACTCCTTGGGGACCAGACTCATCCAACCCTCTGTCCCCTAATAATACATCATGTCTCATCTCCCAGACATCAACAGTGATGGAGTCCTAGATGAGCAAGAACTGGAAGCTCTCTTTACCAAGGAGGTGAGTGCTGGGAGCGGTCTGGGCTGGACATACTTTAGCCTCATGCACCCTAAGACATCCTCTGGTTCACTGACAATGCGGGATAAAACTACAACTCCCAGCAGCCCCTGGGGACAAAGCGGTTAATAGTAGCTTCAAGCCTCTGGGAGGTGGAGTGTGTAGGTTGGGAGTGGGGCTGCCCTGAGCCTCTCAGTGCCTCGTGCTTCTCCCTTAACCCTGCAGTTGGAGAAGGTATACGACCCAAAGAATGAGGAGGATGACATGAGAGAGATGGAGGAGGAGCGGCTGCGAATGAGGGAGCACGTGATGAAGAACGTGAGAGAGGGCATATTGGGGGGGGGGGGCAGGCTCAGCGCAGCCCTTACCTCGGTCTGGCTCCCTAGGTGGACACCAACCAGGACCGTCTTGTGACCCTGGAGGAGTTCCTGGCATCCACACAGAGGAAGGACTTTGGGGACCCTGGGGAAGGATGGAAGGTGAGGACGTGGGAACTCTGACCTCGGTATCAGTCTCCCGGCTGTGACCTCTGGGGGTTCCCTGATTTCCCACCCCATCTCCAGGCCCGGCTCCCTGCTCCAGTCCACTCCCAGTCAGGTCCCTGGGTGCCTGTCGGGCAGCACACACATGCACCCCAGCCTCTCACCCTTCTCCCGCCTCCGTGGGCCTGGGGTTGCCCCGTTGATCAGTTGATCAGCTGACCGTGTCCGGTTCTTGCAGACAGTTGAGATGTATCCGGCCTACACAGAGGAGGAGCTGAGGCGCTTCGAGGAAGAACTTGCCGCCAGGGAGGCTGAGCTCAATGCCAAGGCCCAGCGCCTCAGCCGGGAGACAGAGGCCCTGGGGCGCTCCCAGGACCGCCTGGAGGCTCAGAAGAGAGAGCTGCAGCAGGTGGCCATCGTCTCCATCTCATGGGGCCTCTGTCTTTATCCAAGTGGGCGTCTTCAGGGTGGGATGGCCTCTAGCTCCCACGTTAATAATCACAGATTACGGTAGCTTCCATCGCGAGCAAGGGCAGAGGATGCCTGACGCAGCCATCTTACTTGAGGCCAGTGAGGGAGTCGGGCCCAGGAGGGGAGGACAAGGGTTGGGGTGGGAGCACCTGAGGCGCAGCAGGAGAGAACTCAGTGCTAACTCGCGTGAAGCCCAGCTCACTGGCAGAGGCGCCGAGGCCATGGGGAGGAAAGGGGCTGTGGCCACTTAGCAGTTGGCTATGGGGTCTTCCTGGGGCCTTGACCTCGCGCCCACTTCCTGCAGGCTGTTCTGCAGATGGAGCAAAGGAAGCAAGAACAGAATGCTCCGCCCTCCAGGCCCGAGGGACAGCTGCAGTTCCGGGCCGACACAGGTACGGGCTCTACCCTGGGAGGCTGGGTCTGCAGGAGGAAGGCCAGGGCCCGGGCCTCTAAATCAGAGGCAAGAGGCTTGGTGACTGTGACCCCGAGTCTGAGGGAGGAGGCGAAGGCCCGGGAATCCTGTTTTCTGTGTTTTGGAGGGTTCTTGTCTAATATCAATCTCCTTACTTCCTCTGTAGATGATGCTCCTGTCCCAGCTCCCGCAGGTGACCAGAAAGAGGTGGCTCCTTCTGAAAAGAAGGCCGCAGAACAGCCCCCTGAGCTGCCCCAGCCGGATTCCCAGCCCTTATGATCTCCCAGTGGCCCCAGCCCTCAGGTTCCTGCAGACAGTGGTGGAGGCTGGATGAAGTGTCCTTGCGGCCTCTGTGGAGGCCTGAGCGTGCATGGCTTCCTAGGGAGGAGAAGAGGACTCACCCCTGCCTGTGTCTGACAGTCCCGGCTCTCACAGCCTCCAGGTCCCGGCCCCTTCCTTCTGTCTCCTGACTTTTCCTTATTCTGTCAGGGACTCGCTGTAGGAGCTGAAGTGAAGAGACCCTGCTGTACCTGAGTGCTTGCTCAGGCCTGCCTGCCTTTCTGGTCGTAGCTCTTCAGGCTTAGCCACTTTGCCTCCTGTCACAGGAGCTTGGCTTGGTCCCTCTGAGTCTGCCTTCTGTGGGGCCCGAGGGCTCAGTTCCTTTCCGTGGTTGGAGGCTGGAGACTTGGAGTGTCTTTCAAGTAACTATCAGCTCTTCCTGGACCCCTGGCTTCCATTGCCGCCTCACCGGCCTCGCCCTGATCTTCTGGGCCCGATACCTACCCCATGGCTCCAGAAGGTACCCAGGTGTAGCTCCACCATAGCTGACATCTAACTGCCCTCAGCCCACACTCGAGGGGGCTCCGGGAAGTTGGTACACCCATTTCCCTGGCTTCATACGACGCTGCTGTGTCCTACTCTGTGCTCCGGAACCATTCAAATATAGTCTGGTACAAGTAAACATTAGCATGCCGGTGTGTACGCACTGCCCCTCTTGGAAGCCACCTGCATGCCACCTGGACTCTGCAATCTCCTATGGGTACTTTAAGCCTCACTTCAGAGAGACTGTCTGCGCTTGGCAGAACAGCCCCTCACTGCTCCATTGTTGCCATGGGGACAGAGAATCCAAACCTGAGCGTGAAAGAAAATGTAATAGCTTGAATACTTTAGAAAAAGAGGGACTGTGGCTCAGTTGGTGTACTGCTTGCCCGGCATACATGAAGCCCTGTGTCCCGCAGGCCATTTAAATGGGGAATGGGACTAAATGCCTTTAATCCTAGCCCTTGGAAGGTGGAGGCAAGTTCAGTGTCCTCCTAAGCTGTACAATTTGAAGGCCAGCCTGGGCTACATGAAGCCCTGTGTCCAAGGGGGGGGGGAGCAGGCTGTTTACTGTCAGCAGAGAGAAGAAGCCAAGACTACGTAGTGACACCCTGTCTAAATAAAAGGGAGGAGGGCACAAAAACAGCTTAGTTGCTTGTGCAAGCATCTGTAACCCCAGCAATGGGGAGGCGGAGACAGGTGGGCCCCTTCGGGTTGCTGCTCTACATCCTAGGCGATTCTGCAAGATCCAAACCTCAGGAAGACTCTTAATAAAACTAGATTATGTCGGGAGGCAGAGGCAGGCTCTGTGAGTTCGAGGCCAGCCTGGTCTACAGAGCGAGTGCCAAAACTACACAGAGAAACCCTGTCTCAAACAAACAAACAAACAAAATGGATTATGTTGAACACATCAAGCACAGCTCTCTGGTGGCACACACAGACACCACACAAATGTCTACGGCACACTAGCTTCAGGATTATGAGGAAAACTTCCAGTCTCCCATCTGCTGTTAGTTACTGGAACACTATACTCCCTTCATGGTCCCACAGAGCCGTGACAACTGCAGATACCACACACATCTGCACCAACATCCAGTCTGGATTTTGTTGATGGGAGGATCTACTCAAAGCTCATTCACTTGCAGCTTCCCACTCATGTCCCATTGGCCACAAGAACACCCCATGGCGGCTACCTGTGGTACTTTGTCCTCATCTGGGATGGGGACACTCTCTGATGAAACTGGTGTATGGATAAAGGACAGGGTCATCATTTACATGAGGGCACACCCCCCCCCCCAACAGCTGCACCACCAAGCCTCACCACATGACAGGTGACTTATAGAAGCCTCTCAGAACCTCTCAGTTAATTGTCCATGGTCCATATTCCTTAGCATCTCTCAAGATCACTTGAAGCTGGGGTTGCACAGGAGGAATAATGGCTGGAACCTTAGGAACCAGTCTCTTATCTACAGGAAGTGCTGGTAGTTCCATTACCATAGGCCTGGCTATCACTGGTTAGTAGCCATGGCTACTGGACATATGTATCTGTTCTCTAAGATGGTACCACATAAGTGATACAGAGAGAAAAAACAAACATTGTTGAACCTTAACTGCCTAGAACTCCTCAGAGGGGAGGGGCCTTGTGAGCCCATCCTACACCAAGGCCTTTTTGTTTGGTTGCTTTTGATTTGTGACAGGTTGTCACTATGCAACTCTGGCTAGCTTGTAACTCTATGTAGACCAGTGTGACCTTCACCTCACAGAGACCCACCTGCCCATGTGTGTTCACCACAGGAGAGCAGGTGCCCACAGAACTGAGGGAGGAGCTGGAATTACAGACTGATTGTGAGCTGCCCAAGTGGAGGCCGGGACCCAAACTCAGTCCTCTGCACATGCTCCAAACTATTGAGCCATCTCTCCAGCCCCCATTGACCCAATGTCTTAAATGTCTACAAGGCAAGAGAGACTGGATATTGTCTTGCTGAAGGTGGACTTAGCCAACCAGTTGAGAATAAGTGTTTATATAATATGCCACGGAACTCAGCTAATCCTCTTAAGAATTCCTTCTAAGTAGAAACTGGGTAATTCCCTTTTCCAGAACAGAAACATGACCCCCCAGAGGGGTCCGCCCTGAGCCAGGAAAAAACACACAAGAAAGCCGGGAGTTGGTGGCGCACGCCTTTGATCCCAGCACTCGGGAGGCAGAGGCAGGCGGATCTCTGTGAGTTCGAGGCCAGCCTGGTCTACAGAGCGAGTTCCAGGACAGGCTCCAAAGCTACAAAAAGACCCTGTCTCAGAAAATAAATAAGTAAAAATTAAAAAAATGAAAGAAAGGACAGAGGGTATCAAAGAGGATTCTGTCTGTAACTCCAGGGTCTTAAGAAGCAGGACCATCTGTCAGGCCTGTAGTCCAGGCTGCTCATCCTAGCTGCTTGGGAAGCTGAGGCAAGAAGACTATTCAAGGACACCCGTGACAGCTATGTCAGGGAACATACATGAACTGTCATTTCTATCAAAGGGCTAAATGGAAACAGGAAGGAATCATGATTACTGCTGGATGTTGCATAACCAGTTAGTTCAATGATTAATTAAAACTATAACTGGCAATATTCCCATATCTTACTAAATATGTGACTTATGAACACTAGGCACAATCAGACAGTATTAAGTGAATTTGAAGAAAATACAGAATGAAATTGTTATGAGAGAAGAGGGACGAGGAGGTATGAATGAGATGTATTTCCGGTTCTCTCCAAAAGTTAGAAGAGATAAATAAATTTCCATCGTTTAAGAGACTTGTAAAGACATAATCTAGGGCTGGAAAGGTGGCTCAGAGGTTTAGAGCACTGACTGCTCTTCCTAAGGTCCTGAGTTCAATTCCCAGCACCCACATGGTGGCTCACAACCATCTGTAATGAGATCTGGTGCCCTCTTCTGGCCGGCAGGAATACATGGAGGCAGAACCCTACAGTAAATACATAAATCTTTAATTAAAAAAAAAAAAAAAACAACAACAATCTAGGCGCAGCAGTTGGTTCTGGGAGTGGACCAAGGTTAGGTTCCCAGTGCCCACACCATGAGTGGCTCACGGCACTATAACTCCAGTTCTAGGGGGCCCAACACCTTCTTTCATCTCCTTTCTTCGTTTCTATTTACGTGTGTAAGGGTTGCCTATTTGCATGTAGGTACTCCGTGTGCATGTGTGGCGCCCACAGAGGACAGAGGAAGGCACTGGATGTCCTAGAATGGGAGTTACAGATGGCTGGGGAGCGAAGCTGTCATGGGAGACTGAATGGGGGCCTTGGAAGAACAGCCAGTGCTCTTAACTGCTGAGCCATCTCAAGAGCAATTTCTAAAAATATCAAGCCTGCCTCAAAATAAAAAGTAAAAGGACACCTGAAAGACCGCCATGGTGATGTACACCTATAATCCCTGCACTCAGGAAGCTGAGACAGGAGGATTGCCTTGAGTTCAGGTCAGCTGCCTGAGCTTTATTGTGAATTCCAGGCAAGCCTGGGCAACAGAGTGAGGCACTGTCAAAAGGGGGAGGGTGGGGGGGAATAGCACTGGGGAAATGCCTATTTCTCCCTCTCTCTCTGACAACTGCAGTTGTGTCCCTAAAGGTCAAACTCTCACCCAAAACAGGGTGCAAAATCCTGCTCGTTTGAAGGTGGAGCCAAACCGGGCACAGTCCCCTTGGCCCCACCTCCAGCCCCGCAGAGCCGTCGGCTCCTAACAGCCACCAGGGGCAGCTGCTCACAGGCAGAAGACGACGATGGCGCTGCGCTGGGGCATCGTGTCGGCTGGTTTAATCGCCGGCGACTTCACCACCATGCTGTGCTCACTGCCGCCCTCGGAACACCAGGTGCGCCTCCCGTGGGAGTTTTCAGCTCCCTCCTCTTCCCCCGTCTCCTAAACCTGGGTGCTTGCGGTTTCAGAGAGTTTATCGTAGCTACTCAGAGGAGACGCTACTGTGCAGTCAGGAACCGCATCCACATCTTCCTTTTCTGTTTCTTTTCTTTTCTTTTTTCTTTTTTTTTTTTTTTTGAGACAGGGTTTCTCTGGGTAGTCTTGGCTATCCTGGAACTCACTATGTAGACCAGGCGGGCCTCGAACTCACAGAGATCTGCCGGTCTCTGCCTCCCAAGTGCTAGGATTTTAAAGGCGTGTGCCGCCACCACCCTGTTCATTTTCCTTTTCATTCAGAATTTTGGCATGTACCCAGGATGGCCAGGGCCTCATTCTGTAGCCCGGGCCGGCCTGAGCATAAGTCAGTCTGGGTTTTCACTATCCACCCCCTCCTCCTTCAGACAGGAATATCTTCCCTAATCATCTTGGAGGAGGCTATAGCTTACCCACTCAGCCTCTTCCATTGTTTGCCCTCCATCTGTTATCTTCTACAACGACCCCACCTCAACCCTCTGAATCTGACACCAGGTGGTAGCAGTGGCCGCCAGGGACCCGAACCGGTCAAAGGAGTTTGCCCAGAAACACAACATCCCCAAGGCATATGGCTCCTACGAGGAGCTAGCACAGGACCCAAACGTGGGTGAGTGGCCTCCCTGTTGGAGAAGGGAGCAGAGGTGGGTACAGCCTCTTTGCTGTTCTGTGGTAAAGGATGCCCTTTAATCCCAGCACTCAGGAGGCAGAGGCAGGCCAATCTCTGAGTTCAAGGCCAGCCTGGTCTATAAGAGCTAGTTCCAAGACACCTCCTCACCCCCCCCAAAAAAAGCAGGTGCACTTCTAGGGAAATGGGAGTCTTTGGAAAGGCGTGGGTTCCGTTGGGGTAGGAGGCAGCCATAATAGGAATGCACTTGGCCAGAGGCTGGCTTCACAATATTAAGTTGTGCTTAGATGCCAGGCCGCAGGAGCGAAGGGCAAGTTTTAAGTTTCTCAATCAGCTAGGGAATCTGTTAAGAATGTATTTTTTTATTTTGCAGCACTGGGAACAAAATCTCACAGTTTAGGCTCCACAGAGCTGTAGCCCAACATTTTGCTTCATTTTGAGAGAGGGTCTCACTGTGTAGACCAGGCTGGCCTAAAACTAAATATGTAGACCAGGCTGGCCTCACACTCAGACTCTGCACTTCAGGCTGCTCTCGAATTGGCTATCCTCCTCCTGCCTCTGCCTCCCAAAAGCTTGGTAGTCTCTTCTCTTCGAGAGGATTCGGACTGAATCCACTTTGGCCCTGAGCATTGGCAGACGGACCTCTTCTTGTGGGCAGTGCTGCTGACCCTTCCCCCTTCCTTCTGCTCTAGAGGTGGCCTACATTGCCACCCAGCACCCCCAGCACAAGTCAGCAGTGCTCCTCTGCCTGGCAGCGGGCAAGGCTGTCCTTTGCGAGAAGCCCATGGGTGTGAAAGCGGCAGAAGTTCGGGAGATGGCTGCAGAGGCCCGCTCTCGGGGCATCTTCCTTATGGAGGTAAGCCTGGAGGGCCTTTCTCACACCCATAGAACACCAGCTGCCAGTATTAAGCACGGTTGCCCAAGCTAACCCAAGTCAAAGTGCCGCCAGATCAGAATCTCAGTGTGGCCAGGGTGTAACTGAATCTAGCATCTGCTGAAGGCACAAACCCAAGCCTGCTGCTTCCCATGTGAAGAGGCCGATGACTAAGGTCAAGGGAGGAAAAGCATTCATTTGGAAAGCAAGAAAACCAAAGAAGACAGAGGCATTTTGCTTAAAGGTTGCTGCTGCAGACTTACCTAGAGAGTCGTGGGGTGGTGTGTCGGGGGGCCAGCAGCTCAGGAGTCCCATAGCTCAGCTCCCCAGAGGTACACGCTGCTGTGTTTATCCTCATTCAGGTCACTGTTTGCTTTCTGACCCTAAGGAAACTGCAGATAACAGTGACTCAGCCTTTGTAGCGTCTCCTGGGAAAAGTTAAATACTGGTACACAAGCAGCTTCTTTCTCCTGTAGGACAGGAGATAATGAAGAGATACTTTTCCAGAGCTCCAACACAGGGGAGGGAACCTTCAAGTCACTTCAGTTTTTAACCCATTACATGCCTCCGGCCAGCGATGTCATCTATGGCAAAGCTAATGGGAGACAAAAAATTTGCCACCAAAATGTGTGACTTCTAAAATTAGTGAGTAAAAAAAAAAAAAAAAAAAAAAAAACCTACTTATTAGTTATTCATTTAATTTAATATGCCACATGTATGCTTGGTGCCCACGGAGATTAGAAGACGTATCAGATCCCCTGGAACAGGAAGTGAGCTGCCGTGTGTCTGTTTGGAAGCAAACCAAGGTCCTCTGCAAATGCAACAAATGCTTGTAACTACTGAGCTATCTCTCCAGTGCCTGAAATGAGTGACTGTTTCTAAAGTCAACCAAGAAGTGCTCAGGAGGCAGAGGCAGGTGGTCTTCTGTGAGTTCAAGTCCCGCTTTGTCTACACAGCAGATTTCCAGCCAGCTAGTGCTACACAGAGAGACCTTGTCTCCAAAAGGAAGGGAGGAAGGGAGGGAGGGAGGGAGGGAGGGAGGGAGGGAGGAAGGAAGGAAGGAAGGAAGACCAACCAAGCAATGCTGAAGTGACCCTAGGGATGTAGCTCTGTGGACAGAGTATTTGCTGGGCACGAAGGAAGCCCTGGGCTCCACCTTCAGCAGCAGACATGAGCAGTGTGGTTCACTTCTGTCATCTCAACACTAGGAAGGAGGCAGAGGCCCAGCATGGTGGTGAACACTTTTAATCTTAGCACTGGGATCTTTGTGAGTTCTAAGCCAGCTAGGGTTACAAGATTGTGTCTGATAAAAAGAAAGAAAGAAAAAAAAAAAAAAAAGGAAGGAAGGGATTGTGTGCATGGTTGGAATAGAGATGGCTCAGAAGAACGCTGTTTGAAGCTGGGTAATGGTGGTGGCCAACACCATCTGGAGGCAGAGGCAGGTGGATCTCTGTGAGTTTGAGACCAGCCTTGTCTACAGAGCCAGTACCAGGACAGGCTCCAAAGCTACAGAGAAACCCTGTCTCAAAAAACCTAAACAAACAAACCAACACCACTGGTTCTTCCAGAGTTCAGGACTCAGCACACACTTTGGATTGTTTGCAGTCACCTGTAACTCGTTTCCGGGGATTTGTCGCCATCTTCTGGCCTTTGGGAGCACCTACATACACAAACACGTGCACCTACATATAAAAAACTTTATTCAAAAGTGCAAGGTATCTCTACCTACATAGAGAGATTGAGGCCAGCCTGAACTACATGAAACCCTTTCTCAGAAGAAAAACAAAGTCACCCAAAAGTAAAGCCAGCCGGATTATTCAAATATGATGGCTGTCATAATCCTTAGCAAATGTGACAGACTTCCTCAGACTGTGTGGAATGTTCTTTAGCTTCCACGTCCAATTTTAAGGGGGGGAGGGGGGCTGGAGAGAGGAGGATACATAGAGAACCTCAAACTCACAGAGATCTACTGGCCTTTGCCCCTGAGCGCAGGGAATAAAGGAGTATACACCATACCCACCAATATAGAGGGTTGGGGGGGGGGCTAGAGATGTCACCTCAGTGGCTAGAGCGCTTCCCTAACCCAAGGCTCTGAGTTCAGGCCCACCTGTCCAAGAAATAGTGATGCCTACAGTGGACTGGGCTGCCCTACATTATAAAAACCAAGACACTTCCCCACAGGCTACTCTGATCTATGCAGTTCCTCAACTGAGACTCACTTCTGCTACATAGTGAGTTGGAAGCCTGTCCAAACTACGTAATACCCATCTAAAAAAATGAACAAAACCACATATAGGACAGAGTTGGCAAAGGAAAGCCGAGGTGATGGCCCCAGTGGGTAAAACAAAGGCAGGCCCTTATGCTGGGGGCTGTGGGTTGTGGAAGGATAGAGGTGTGTTTTGGGTAACCCTCACGTCTAGGGTCCTGAGGGAGGTGTGGTTGATTACCTTCTGGGTACTGATGCCCCCATTTCCCTGGGCTCCCTTCTCTGGTGTGCAGGCCATCTGGAGCCGGTTTTTTCCTGCCATGGAGGCTTTACGGGAAGTTTTGGTCCAAGGAACTATCGGGGACGTACGAGTGGCCCGGGCGGAAATGGGGATCCAAGTAACCTGGTTACCCCGGGCCACCGACCTGAGCCAGGCAGGCGGCAGCCTGCTGGACCTCGGCATCTACTGCATCCAGTTCCTCTCCACAGTCTTTGGTGCGCAGAAGCCGGAGAAGATTTCAGCCGTAGCAGACATCCATGAAACAGGTACTGCGTACTCTCTGTTGGAGGCCTTCTTCTCAATTCCCCCGCGCCCTATTCCCCCACCAAAGAAATCAACGTAGACAACTGGAGGGTTTCCTTGAGGGCCGCCTTCCCTAGCCACGAACTAGACACATAAAAAACTACCATTCCCAGAATTGCCAGTGGCCCATGTATACGTGGTTTAAGCAGGTGGCTAGTCTCATGGCTTTCTGGGAAATGTAGTTCAAAGAACTAGAGCACCCTCGGAAAGGTGGGCGGGGCCCAACGTCTCCTTCAGAACCTGGCTCCCAAGCCCACCCTCCACCCTTTACCCTTTGACACGGGTCAGCTCTCCGCTAGCCATGCACAGATTATACTCTACCACGTGATCTGAGTCGGGCTTGCTGAATCTTGTTTGACTGGTCAAATGTTAATTATAGGGGTGTTGTGGGAGTTTATGAAGAATTGAAGTAACTGAGTAACTGTTAAGAAATGCAAACACAGGCCTTTGATCCCAGCACTTGGGAGGCAGAGGCAGGCGGATCTCTGTGAGTTCGAGGCCAGCCTGGTCTATAGAGCAGGACAGGCTCCAAAGCCACAGAGAAACCCTATCTCGGAAACCAAAAAAAAAAAGATAGAAAGAAAGAAAGGGAAGGGAGTGTGGGAGAGAAACAGTAGGGGAGAGAGAAGAGATAGGAAAACTCCTGTCTGCCCCATGGGTGGGAGGAGAGTGGGTGGAGTTTTCCTCCTAAAGGGACCTCTACACTTAGTGTAGTAGCCTGCATGCATTCTGCCAGGGGGCGGGGCGGGGCGGGGGGCGGGGCGGGGCGGGGCGGGGGCGGGGCGGGGGCGGGGCGGGGGGCGGGGCGGGGCGGGGGTGGCCAGCATAAGGCCTGAATCCACGAGGGCGCAAGAACAACAAAAACAATGACATTTGTATGTATGTATGTATGCATGTATGCATGTATGTATGTATATTTGTACTGCACGTGCGAGGGAGCCTGCAGAGGCCAAAAGAGGGTGGTGACGGCGCACCCTCACCCCGAGCTGGACTCATGGCAGTTGTAAGCTGTTTGATGTGGGTGCTGAGAACTGAACTTGGGTCCTCTGGAAGAGCAATATGTGCTTTTAGCCACTGAACAATCTCTCCAGCCCTCGGTGCTTTGGTTTGTTTGTTTTGTCTTTAACTTTTCCTGTTTTATATTTTCCTGCCTCGGGGGCTCAAGGAGCACAGAGTCTGTTCTATCATGCTCAGTTCCACCGTCTTCCTGCCCCAATGTCCCCAGTGCTGCCTTTACAGACACGAGTCGCCATACCTGGCCCTCCCTTTCTCCCCCACCCAGCCTGCAAGCACCCCACAACTGACCTACATATTCAGGCCTTGACGTTAAAGTAATCGTTCTTTCCTTTGTTTTTAAATCTGGATTAAGGGAATGCTTGTAACAACACTACAAAGTAGGATCTATACAGGAAAGGGAGATTCAGGGTGGTTCAGTCAAATGCTGACCGCCCTCACAGACAACCTGAGTTCAGTTCCTAGCACCCACAATCACCTGTACCTCCATATATAAAAGATCCAAAACTCTCATTGGATCTCCACAGGTACCCCCAACACACACACACACACACACACACACACACACACACACACACACACACACTATACATATTTCTAAAGAGTAGGTTCTATCATTAACCCCCTTTTAGTAATTCAGAAAGTAATTTTCACATACCTAAAAAAAAAAAAAAAAAAAAAAAAAAAAGTGAGTTTTGTGGTGGGAGAGATAGCTCAGAGGTTAAGAGCACTGGCTGTTCTTTCAGAGGTCCCTAGTTCAATTCCCAGTACCTACATGGTGGCTCACAACCATCTGTAATGCAATCTGGTGCCCTCTTCTGGTCTGCAGGGATAAATGCAGGTAGAACAGTGTATACATAATAAGTAAGTCTTAAAAAGCTTTGGGGCTGGGCAGTGGCATGCCTTTAATCCTGGCACTCCAGAGGCTGAGGTCCACCTGAGTCAGTGATCTCACCAGCTCGGGTCAGCTGATTCTCTGAGTTTCCCCATCATGGCCTTGACTCCTTTGTTCATCATATCACTCCACCCTCACTTTGATTGTACTCCAGGAACTCGGCCCATTGGTTAGTTGTGGATTTCTGTGTATGCTTCCATCTGTTTCTAGAAGATGGTGCTAACTTTTCTGGGGTACTTTTTTTTTTTTTTTTTTTTTTTTTTTTTTTTTTTTAAACAATACTTATTGGCCTGGGACAGAGATCTGCCTACCCTCTGCCTTGTGCCACCATGAGTGGCAATGTGGACTTGTTTTTTAGGTTTATTTTATTTTATATATATGACTGTATGACCATAAGCTGTGTGATTTCAGAGGTCATAAGAAGGAATTAAATTCCCTAAAGCTGGAGTTTCAGACAGCTGTGAGCTACTATGTGGGTTCCAGGAACCGAATGCACTTACTCAGCAAAAGCAGCCAGGGCTTTCAGTACCACGGAACCATCCATCTGTCCAGTCCTGAGGTATAATTCAGATGCCACATGCACACTCGCTTAAAGTACATCATTAATTCAGGGTATTGTGGTTCAAACCTGTAACCCCAGTCCTTGGGAGACTGAGGCAGGAAGATTCCATGAGTTCAAAACCAACTTGGATTATACAATGAAGCCTTGTTTTATAAAAACAAAACAGGGCCAGGCAAGACGGCTCAGCAGCTAAAGGCGTTTACTGTGAGAACCTCAAGCCCAGAGTGTGATCCCCAGAACTCATGAAAAGATGGAAAGAGACTTTTCTGGAATCCTCTAACTCCAAGATGGAAAGAGAATTTTCTAGAGTCCTCTGACTTCTACACTTGCGTTGTGGCACGTGTCCCAGTGCATGTACAATATGCACATATACACACTAATAATCAATTTAAAAACTTAAAAACCAAAGCTATTTAGCCGAGCGTGGTGGTGCCTGCCTGTAATCCCAGCTCTTGAGAAGTGGAGGCAGGAAGAGCCATAGATAACTGTCTAATCCCTAAGACGTTTGCATGAGCTGAGCTCTGGGAGACTCTGTCTCAAACAAATTAACAAAGCCCAGCAAAAACAATAGAAACTAAACGAAACAAAGCAACAACAAAAAGGCAAAGTGTCTGGGCCATGGTCGGAGGCCTGCGCCTGCGCAGTGTCTGGGCCATGGTCGGAGGCCTGCGCCTGCGCAGTGTGTCCCAGGACTTGCCCCCACCCTGTGCTAACCTGTGCTTTCCTTACAGGTGTGGACAGCACTGTCAGCGTGCTTCTTTGGTACCCAGGAGGGGCCCACGGTAGCTTCTCCTGTAGCATTACTTCCAGCCTCCCCAACACAGCATATGTGATCGGTACCAAGGGCATGGCCCAGGTGAGAGACACCGCATGCCCAAGTACTGGGAGCCTGTGCCGCGACCTCCGGAGGGGTCCCTAGAGCTCAAGTCTTTTTTACCCTGCTTGTGAGACGTTCAGACTCCCTCACACAAGCCAAGGGATGGGGTTTCAGCCTTGAGGTCACAGTCCCATATTCTCAGGCCTTAGGACAAGCTAGTTCTTTTGATGTTTGGTTTTTGGTGCTAGGAAGGGAAGCCTGGCCTTCCTGACTGCTAAATCTGTGCCCTGCCACCAAGTTACCCTCTCCAGCCCCAAGTTATTTCCAGCTAGATTTGCTACTTTTACTATCCTTGTGATCAAATGTCTGACAGAGGCCATTTAACCAAGGGAAAGGTTCATTTGGGCTCAGGGTACAAGACCTGTCGGTCCATCGTGGTGGGGAGGGCACAGAGGCTGAACCAGTTTGATCTATAGCGATGGAAGCTTCCATACAGCGTGCTCACACCAGTGAGGAAGCCAAGAACTCAGGTGGGTACCAAGACTGGATGTAAGCTCCCAGGTCCACACTCCAGCCACCCACTTTTGCTGTGAACAGTTCAGGTTCTAAACATGAAGCTGATGACTTAAGACCTTCCAGTTGTTTCCAGACACACTCTGTTTACCAGCAGAGGTCAGATTTTCCTGGATTCCTGGAATGCTGCTGCTATAAGGAAACCCTGTTTTTGATCTGACAGTGTAGTTCAGTGGAAGGGCATGGCTAGCACGTACGCTACCCTGCATTTGATACCTAGCTGCCGAAGAAAGGGGACCCTGCCTGGCCCAGCGGGGGAGCAGGGGGGAGTCATGGTTCCAGGCATTCTGGACTATACAGGGATTTCAAGGACAGTCAGAACTACTCAGCAAGACCTTCAGAAATAAAAAGTGGAAAGAGTCTAGAGACAGAGAGGTCCAGCACCCTGCCTGTAATCCCCCAGCGAGGGGCCGTGTGTGTGTGTGTGTGTGTGTGTGTGTGTGTGTGTGCACGCGCGCGTGCGTGTGTGTGTGTGCAGGGCTCAGGAGCAGAGCACTTATTTAGTGCACAGCTAAGAGTGTGTGTGATCCCTAACACTTCATTGAAAAAAACTTAAAAAGAGAGAAATAAACCATATATACAGCAAGTCACACTATAGACTAATTTGAGCCTTTTCCTGCATTTTGAAGGATTTCTACCATCCTCACCTCATGTCCCAGTTGTCCTCCGAGTTCCCATTGTGTCCCACAAGTGTGCAGAGGGCTAGTTTAGCTTCCAGCTGCTCTACCAGAATAGAAGGAAGGTTGTCAGTGTTCTGTTTTGTGTGGGTCACTCTAGGATGAATTTCGATTTAGCAGGGGAATCAGCTTCCTGGGAACTGACTGCCCACTGCTCTGCAAAAGCTTTTTTATTGTTACAGGACTTACATCTTTTTGTTTTTTGAGGTAGGGTTTCTCTATGTTACCACCCTGGCTGTCCTGGAACTTGCTTTGTAGACCAGATTGACCTTAAACTCATACAGATCCTCCAGCCTCTGCCTTCCAAGTGCTGGGATTAAAGCTGTGTGCCGCCACTGCCGGCAGGATTAAGCAAGCAATTTCCACATACCAAAACCTTTTATCTGGAAAAATCCGAAGGAACCATTTGCCCAAGCAATTTCCAGGTGTGAGACCTCTTGGTTTTCCAGGTTCTCTCATTACTAAGTTTTGCAAAGGCTCTGAATCCTTCAGGAAGAACTCAGGTAAGAACCAAACACTTCACACAAGAGGTAACAACCACAAGAGGTAGTTCAAAGCCAGGTGCTAACACTTCAGATTTCAAGCCAGATGCAATGTCTCTGGGATCTCTTGCCCTATCTCAAAAGAGAGAGAGAGAAACAGAGAGAGAGCCAAGAATGATGATGTCAGCCTCTGCAATCTTGACACTTGGGAGGCTGTTAGTTAGGCTTCATTACTTGGCTGAAGGAGGAGCTGGTCCTCAAGTTCAAGGTAGTTTTTGATTCTGGGGAGACAACAGACATGGTCTAAGTATAACAGGAGCCTTGCTAAGGGGCAAACTCTTCAACCCCAATCCAGGCAGAAGGCAGACTTGAACCTCACAAATCGATTGGGGGTAAACCCTCAGCTCTCCGTGGCAGAGCTGGTCCTTGGGTCTACCAGGCATGCTGTTCCTCGAAGCGAAGCCTCATAGTAGTCATTGTTATCTTCCTCCAGATTCGCAGAACATGGTGTCCAACAGAGCTGGTGGTGAATGACGAGCACAAAGAGTTCCCTCCGCCTGTCCTCGGGAAAGGGTACACTTTTTTAAACGGACCATGCTTGAGTTATGAAGCTAACCACGTCCGTGAGTGCCTTCGTAAAGGTGAGTTGTGGAGGACTGCAGCCTGGGGCCAGTCTAAGCAGAAATGCTGCGCTCCCTCATACCCTGGAGCAAAAACAACTATTTAGAACTACATTTCCCACAATGCCAAGGGACACATCTGCCTTATCAAACCACACCACCTATTCCTCGGTGCCTCTGGGAATTGTAGTCTTCTTGGTGTGCGGTGCCTGTGTTTTGGACGTGTCTTGTGTGCTCTCTCCTTCCAGGTCTTAAGGAAAGTCCTGTAGTTCCTCTGGCAGAGAGTGAGCTCTTGGCTGAGATCCTTGAGGAGGTGAGGAAGGCTATTGGAGTCACCTTCCCCCAAGACAAATGCTGATGCTGCTCCTTGGTTGGATGTGGCAAGCAATAATAGCTTGCCACTCATTGCTTTGGAGTTATTTTTGAAAAACAGCTCGAGTTCCAGAAAGGGACTCCTAAGAGACACCTTACTATTGTTCCTACTGTACACTCTGTCATCCCCTGTCCTCTGGCTCACCAGGGTGCTTCTTTGGGAAATATGATTGAAAGGGTCTCTGGTTCAAGGGTATCTTGGTGATCTGGAGTTAAAGAATATCATAGTCACACATGCAACAAACCTCATTCAAGAGATTTACTGGGGGGAAACCCAGAGCTGCATAACAGAGCTGGCTGGGCAGAGCACAGGGTTTTATAGGGTCTTAGACGCAAGCTCAATGGGCTAGTGGAGAAGTATTAACTCTGGGTCGTGGGGGTGGGAGTTTCTGAGGGCCAGGCCAGGGTACCTGGTGACTGATATTGCCAGGGTGACACTGTGTCATGATTTTCTCCACCCTGCTCTTTTTCCTTGAGATTATTTCCTCAATTAGGGACTGAATAAGGGTGGGTGTGGCAGCCAGGTGTAACGGTGCACGCCTTTAATCCCACCACCCAGAAGGCAGAGGAAGGCAGATTTCTGTGCGCTCCAGACCAGCCTGGTCTACATAGTAAGTTTCAGGCCCTCCACTTACAGATGAGACCCTAGAGAGGGAACTGGATGGGGGGTGGGGACACACAGAGGCACTGGGGCTGGAGCATTGAGTCAGTAGTTGACAGTACTTGTTAGTCTTGAAGAAGATGCTGACTCAGTCACAAACACAAACGTCTTCAGCCCCAGGTCAAGAGACACAATGCCCTCTGATGTCTATGGGCACCAGGCACATACAGAACACATACACACTTGTAGGCTGTTAGGTCTCAAACCCTGGGACAAACTGCTGAGGTGCCTATTTAACATATCAAAGCTACCTGGCTGCCAGCTTCTCCCAGCACCCCTCAGTTCCTACCTGTTGTGGGAGGGGAGACAACACGGGCACCCCATGGCTGGCATACCCAGCCCTCTACCCGGCTCCTTTTTGTACCTTTGGCTTCTTGGCTGTGGCACCTGGTTTCCCTGTCTCCCTCTTCCCTTCCCCTCCTCCTCATCCCACCCAGGTCAGTCCGCTCTGGACTCTCCCAGATGTTTCTGCCTTTACTCACACTTTCCCTTTCATCTACAATAAACTCTCCTCCACCAAACCTAGGAGCGGCCATGTCCTTCCTTTTGTATTCCTTCTTCTCTCACAGGCAAAACACTCATACATATAAATAAATACATCTAAAAAAATTAGCCAGGTAGTGGTGGCACACACCATTAATCCCAGCACTCAGGAGGCAGAGGCAGGTGGATCTCTGAGTTCAAGGCCAGACTGGTCCACAGAGTGAATTTCAGAACAGTCAGAACTACACAGAGAAACCTTGTCTCCAGAAAACAAATGGAAAAAGAAAAAAATGAAAGGGTGGATTTGACAGCTGGAGCCCACAGCCTGTGGGGCTGCCCACAAGCAGAGAAAGTATGTGGATCGCAGACATTCTCTTTCAACTGGCTACTGAATTTTTATCAGCAAACAAGAGATAATACATCCTTCATACTACGTCCTGTCTGGTAATGATTGGGACAGTCTCAGCTTTAACAAAATATAGAGCTTGGGCTGGAAAGTCTGCGGTTAAGAGCACTTGCTGGCCAGGCATTGGTGGCACAGGCATTTAATGCCAGCACTCCAGAAGCAAAGAGCCCAACAGGGCTTCCTGGGATCTACTCTTGTTCCTTCCAAGGCAGTGCACCAATATCTTCCACTAAGTGACTCCTTAAAGGTCCCACAACCTCTTCACATGAAACCGGGGACACACCTGTCTCCTCCAATACATGAACTCATGGGAAGACAAATCATAACATTTCTTTTTACTTTACTCTTCATGTAAAACTCATCTGTCAAGGCTCAGGGGCAGATATGGCCTCTGAGAAGTCTTAAGCCTCAGAAGCAGCCAGAGTCTCCGGCATATTCCTGAAATTTAGCCAGGCATTAAATAACATATTTGAGGGCTGGAGAAATGACTCAGTGATTAAAGAGCATTGGCTGCTCTTCCAGATGGTCCTGAGTTCAATTCCCAGCAACCATATAGTGGCTCAAACCATCCAAGGAGGTCTGGTGCCCTCTGCTGGCCTGAAGGCATACATGCAGGCAGAACACTGAATCAATAGGTGTTCTAGATCCTAGGGAATTGAGAAGAAATGAATACAGTCCTTTTGGGGAATCTAGGTAGGTGAGGACCACCAACAATTAACTAAAACATTGCACATATAAATACAATTAATTACAGTGATGTGAAACATCATAAAGTCCAATGCAGAAAAAAAAAAAGCTGCCCATATTGGACATTTAATCCCAGTACAGAAGCAGACACAGGCAAACCTGGTCAACAGAGCCAGGATGAAACCCTGTCTTGAAAAAACAAACACCAATGACTCATAGCAACGAACACCTTTCAAGTAAAGGTGTATGGACTAAAGGGTCCACCGCGTGACACCGTGTGGCTTACTGGGCCACCCCGAAGAATTTGTTGTCGTTTTTTTTTTTGTTGTTGTTGTTCTTTTAAATCTTGTTTTGTTTTTGGGGGGAGGTTGCAAGGGCAGAGGGTGGATGCAAGGGGATGGGGATCGGGACACATTTGCACAAATTTGTGAAATGCACAAATAATAAGAGAGCTTTTCCAGCAGATGACTCAAGGCAAGATGTTTTCTGACGTCCAGATGACTACTTTCCTGCGGGCCCCAGCCACCTTCAGAGAACTGATAAAGTCCCCATAGTATGCCCGAGACTGTTGCTACTTCATATTCTGAAAGTTTCGTTTCCTTTCTGTCTTTTTTTTTTTTTTTTTTTTTTTTTTCTTGTGAGATAGGGTTTCTCTGTGTAGCTTTGGAGCCTGTCCTGGAATGCCCTTTGTAGACCAGGCTGGCCTCGAACTCACAGAGATCCACCTGCTGGGATTAAAGGCGTGCACCGCCTCATCCTCGTTCCGCAAACCCTACCGGCGTGCGCCACCACAACCGGCCTGCGTTTGTTTTCCGTCCTGCTTTTTTCCAGATGGGGTCTGGTTATAATCCTTGGTGGCTTTCAGCTTGAGGCAACTCTCCCTCTGCCTCAGCCTCCTAATGCTGGAGGACGAAGCGAACCTCCTCCTGCCTGGTCTCGGTTTGTTGGTTTTTTGAGACCAGGCTTTGTTGACTATCGGAACCAGGCTCTGAACTCGGCGAAATCCTTCTGCTCAGCCCCCGCAGCGCCCTCCACTACTAAGCTATGGGAAAACAAATAGAAGACAAAGGTGCGGTCCGGGCTTCAGGCAGAACCGCGCACGCGCGTTCCGGTGACGCGCCCCCGCCAGGCCGGCCAGTCACGTGACCGGGGCGCGGGGCGGGGCCACGCCGCGGAGCGCCCACGTGAAGGCGCACGTCCGCGAGCGGTCACGTGACCTGGGCGCGCTGCAGCCGCCCGGGGCGCACCCGGCGAGAGGCGGCGGCGGCGGTGATGGACGGGTCCGGGGATCAGCTCGGAGGCGGCGGTGAGGCGGGAGGCGGAGGACGAGGCCCGGGCGAGGGGACCCGGGACGCCGTCGGCTCTGGGCTCGGGCGGGAGCAGGCTGGGGCGAGCGATCCGTCCCTCCAGACGCATCCGCACCCCGAGAGCGGACCTCGGCGTGCGCGCCCCCGGGCAGGCCCGGGCTTGTCGCTGGCGCCACTTCCTGCTGGTGGCCTGGGCTGGGCCGGGGGTCTGTTTGTTTTGGTCCCTCGTCTCAGTCTGGGGAGGAACTGGATGCGGGCCGGGTCCCGCCCCCTGTCCATCAGTAGCAGTCCCCCGGCTTTCCGCGGTACCTTTTCCTGCTAGGGCACCCAGCTCTCCCGCCTCTCAGCTCAGGGTCATGAGCCTGCCCAGCCCCCTGACTCTTCCTGGCACCTAGGAGTCCAGGCACTCTTCCTCCTCTCTCCACCAGGGCCCACCAGCTCTGAGCAGATCATGAAGACAGGGGCCTTTTTGCTACAGGGGTGAGTGGGAGGCGCTGTTGTGGCGGGGGTGGGGTGGGGGGGTCTTCAGGAGCAGCAGTCGGTTCTCACTCTGCGCCTCCCCCCCCCCACTTCCATTCACATCTAGTTTCATCCAGGATCGAGCTGGGAGGATGGCAGGGGATGCACCCGAGCTGAACTTGGAGCAGCCACCCCAGGATGCATCCACCAAGAAGCTGAGCGAGTGTCTCAGGCGAATTGGAGATGAACTGGACAGCAATATGGAGCTGCAGAGGTGTGGTTCCCGGAAGCTGGGGTCCATCCGGGGCTTTCCTGCCACCTCAAGAGCTCAGGCACTGTCCACTCTTGTCCTCCCAAGGGGCCCGGTGTCTCGCCACTCACTTCAGACGTCCCGTGTCAGGGATACGATCCAGGGCAGGCCAGCCCTTTGCCCTGGAGCTGCATCCCCAGCCCCTCTGCTTGGTGGGTGCTAGGCAAGTGTCCTCCGAGTCACTGGTAGGTTCTAGGTAGATGCTGTGCTCCTGAGCCATGCCCATAGCCCCTCACTGGTGAACTCTCACTAGTGGATGCTAGGCAGATGTTCTACCATAAAGCCACATCCCGGGCAGATGCTTGCCCTGCCTCTGACACCGCACCGATCAATCACAGGCAGGTGCTTAGCCAGTAAGACACACTCCGCCCGCCACTTGTAGATAGTAGAGAGCATGCTTCTGCTGAGCTGAGGCCCAAGTCACTCCCCAGCACCTTGAAACTAATTCAAGATGGCATTCATTTTGTTTGCTCCCTTAGGCATCTTGTCCCCCTCCTGACCCTATTATCCTCCTTTTTAGCTTGGCTCTGGCCTGTCTCCTTATCTTTAGTCTGGGGAGGTTGTGGGATGGAGACTCCTGTGCTGGATCTGACCATCTTGCCCAGCATCTGCTCTCTTTCCTGTAGGATGATTGCTAATGTGGATACGAACTCCCCCAGAGAGGTCTTCTTCCGTGTGGCAGCTGACATGTTTGCTGACGGCAACTTCAACTGGGGCCGGGTTGTTGCCCTTTTCTATTTTGCTACCAAACTGGTGCTCAAGGTGGGCAGCTACAGGGCCATGGGCTCAGAGATGTACCCTCAA